CTATCTATCTATCTATCTTCATCCATGTATTTATTTCTATGTGTTTCACCTCGTTTTCGACGTAATTATATACGTATCTCTGTCACTCAACCGGTCTATCTGTTAATTTGTCTCTCTGTTTTTTCTCTTTATATATTTCTCTATTCTTCCTACGTTATTTTTTTTTTATTTTATTTTTTTTTTTACATCTAAACCAATTATTTTTATCTCTTTCGTTCTCACATTGTTTTTATTTATTTCTTATTTTTTTTGTATAATTTTTTAGATTCTATCTTTATCTCTTTTGCTTTCTGTTCTTTCTCTCTCTCTCTCTCTCTCTTTTTCTCTACCTCTCTATCATGAACTAACACACACACGATTAGTAAAAAAATTTCGTTGGTCGAAATGTTGGTGAGTAAGTCTCTTTGTTTGGTGTCTGTGATGTTGCAGCGGCTTCCAGCGGTGCTCAGCAGGATAGGGATTATATTGGCCAGCCCTTTGGTAAGACCCCCCATTGTATTAGGGCGCGGTCGTGACTTCGCGCGTCCTCGGCTCGCTAGAATTATCCAGAGACTCTATCTCGTCCACTCTCGCCCCTTCGAATGCAAAAAAGATCCAAAAAAATATCCTTTATATTATTCGTAATCGATAAACAACAAAAAATATATATTAAATACTCTTTTGCGAAAAAGGAAAAAAATATTAATAAAAGAAATATATAAACGAAAGTAAAAGAAGGGGCAAAAATTACATTTAATGAAATAAATGAATGAGAATATCCAATAAGTAAACTTAATTGATAACAAACAAAATATAAAAATAAAATTACTTAAAAAAAAAGAAAAGAAAATAATTCGTAAAAATTTGAACGTATGGCGAGGGCAGCCAAGATCGAATCCGGACGATAATTTCTCCTAATGCATCTCTTTTTTATCTAATTAAAAAAGAATAGGAAAAGATAAATAATAAAATGTTTATATAATACGTATGATAAAAGAAATATGAAAATTAACAGGAAAATAATTTCAAAAAGGACTACGTAAACGTGCAAAGTCCCAACCGCGTCCTAAAGGACAGCCAACCAACATACACGCTCACACATACACGTACGCAACACTTATTCTCTTGTTATCATTCCAGCGTGCGTCAGCCTCTATTTCATTCGTTTCTTTTTATCTCTCTTCCGCTCTCTCTCACTCTTTCTCTCTCTCTTTCTCTCTCTTATTCTCTTTCTCTTTCACTCTTTCTTTCTTTCTCTTTCTCTTTCACTCTTTCTTTCTTTCTTTCTTTACCGTCATTTCTATCTTTCTCTTTACTTTCCCCATCCTTCAACTCGCATTCTCTTCCTAACGAGATTTTAATCGGAAATGTAATCGCAAATATAAGATTCTCACAAATTGGAAAAACAAATTATAGACATTGAACTAATCGTTCGTTTGAACTTTTGAATTATTTTGGCATCTCGTGTTTTATATTAAAATAAAAACAATCGAAATTCTTTAAAAAATTGTTTAAATATATATATATATATATTGTATATACAAGCCATTCACAAATTAAAGAAATTAATTAAATTTTTAGGAATATTAGTAAATTTATTTGAAAATTCTATCAAATTTCTTGATCTATATTTATATTTCAATTTTTAATTAAAAATCAAATTCTCTTAATAATTAGCCTTAACACCATTAAATGACAAAAAACAATTAGGATGATCGTTAAATGATAAATGATATTACAATGTATTTATCAATTTTCTCTACTTTTTTTCTGTGGAACTAATCGATTAGACAAATTAATGGCTCATCATATGTATATATATATTAGAATATGTTTTAATAATATTTTTACAATCAATAAAGAGAGCCTACATGCCGCACGAAGTCTGTAAATCGCGAAAAAATAAATAAAATACAAATATATTTAGATTTCATCAATGAGATTTACAAATTTACAAATGTTTCTGATTACGTCTGACTAATCCTCCTGTTATTTCACTTGCTTCCTCTACTTAAATTTCCCTTCCATTTCTTTCCTTCTTTTATCTAAATATTTAATCCTTCTTTTTCATACTCTCTCTTTTTCTTTCTTTCTCTTTCTCTCTCTCTCTCTTTTTATCTATCTTGTTCTATTTCTCTCTTTATTTCATTTTATAATATCTTCTTTTTCAACTGCCTAATATTTTTTTTTTATTTTAACATTTTTAAATCGCAGCACACGCCTAGTCTCTTATGTTCCGTGCAAAATGCATTCAACAACGTAGAAAGTAGTCGACGATAAATTCATTTAAAAATAAAAAAAAAATAAAGAAATTATATTATTTTCTCTTCCTCACTTTTTCTCTCTTATTATACATACTGTATTTATAAATAATCTTTATTCTCTAATCTTCTCTTTAACATCGAATAAATTGGATTTACAAGACGCAATTTAATCTTAAATCATAAATTATGTTACAATCTGTACATAATTAAAATATTATTTTAAATACGTAAATCTCTTAAAAGGTATGGAAAAAAAATTACATCAATTCTTGTCACACGATAGAAGATTTTGACTCAAAACGTGCATATTAAATATCTATAATATAAGTACATAATTATATAAATTATATAAATTACATGGTGAGATATATTAACACGTAACACTACGTAAAAGTGGAAATAAATTTTAAAAATGTAAAATTCTCGATAACGGGATATGGATATGATATAATAATAATAATAATAATAATAATAATAATAATAATAATAATAATAATAATAACACAGTATATATGAAATAATAATACATTCGAAATTATATGTTCTATTTTATGCACATAGTACATACATACATAAATTATGTATATATTATATATGTATTGAATATACGCAAAGAACAACGAGGTTCGAACTATTAATCGAAAATATATCGCGATCGGTGATAACGAACGAGCTAGATAGTATAACACAGGGGAATTTTTCAAACGTTCCTGTCGATATTGTGGAAAAGGTCAAATAGCTACGAACTTCTATCGACTAGCACTTCGTCCAGTAGAACGGAAAAAAGATAAAGAATAATAAAAAAGGAAAGAAAGAAAGAAAGAAAGAAAGAGTAAAAGAAAAAACAAAGGATTCGATCGGAAAAAAAAGCCAAACATGAATTTCTCTTATCTATGCACATACATGCATATATAAACGCATACGTAAATCGTGAAGACCCGTGTAACACGGATATTCGTCTATAGTTTTTTTTTCTTATAGGAGCTAATCGACCGAACGTCTTTGAATTTCTTTTTTTATCACTCTCTCACTCTCTCTCTCTCTTCTTAATTCACCTCCTTGTCCTCTCTCTCTCTCTCTCTCTTTCTTTCTATCTCTATCTAACTATCTATCCGTAAAAAAAATGGCAGAGATCGATAGTTCTACTTCTTCGGAAAAAAGGGATGACGTAGAAGAGACAAAAAAGAAAGCAATGCACGCGCACATGTATACACACACAAACACACATATACTTAAATACATTTTGAGAAAAGGAAAAATATAAAAGACGCCTTGTAAATCCAATAATCTTGGCGAACCTTAACTTTCTCTTCTCATATATGCATCGTGTGTTCGATCGATGAAAATATGTAGCGTATATTTTACCTTCTTTTACGTATTATTATAATGTCTTTCTTTGTATATCTAATATATATGTACATGCACGTATGTGCACGTATGCATGTAAGTAAGTATACACGCCTCTCTATCTACGTGTATGTGTATCCAAACGCATAAATCGCATAACTTGACGTCACCGATGCACCTGCATGTATCGCATCGAAACTTTGATCCGGTCGTTTGTGAATTATATGTATGTATGTATGTATGTATATATATACTTAAGCATGATCAAGCTTCTCCCTTTACATGCATATCCTTTACATGCTTTTACGATTAACGAAGATCTATATATTAAGTTTCGTTAACAATGATTAACGTTTAATCTATTTAATTTCATGACGGCATTGTTATCAAGATATCCTACTCATATTGGCAATTAATACTCACGACGTTTCGCGTTATTTGTTAAACTAATTCTTCTCTTTCTCTTTCTCTTTCTATCTATCTATCTATATATCTATCTATCTATCTATCTATCTATCTATCTATCTATCTATCTATCTATCTATCTATCCATCCATCTATCTATTTATCTCTACTTGTATCTTACATCTCTCTCTATCTCTCTGTCTTTCTTCATCCTGATTGATCAATAGAGACAAACGAGAAATTGATGATCTTATTAGTCAATAATAATGGGACAAAAAAAGACGATAGAAAAAAAACGTCGTGATTATGGCCTCTCATCGATATAAATATATTATATTCTTATCTTTTGTTTCTCTATTTTTTGTTTTTTTTTGTTTGGGGTAATCTTTTTACAATCTATCTTTTCCCTATTTCGTAGGCATTGTTTGAGTAGTGAGAACAGCTTGAAAAAAAAGATTCGCATGTTCGCATTTCTCGTACACGTAATAAGATGGCGCTTTTTTGCGTTCACATCACGATCATGTCAATCTTCGGATCATTATTATAAATCTCGATCGGTGGTATTAAAATCAAACGACGAGAATGCTTAAACGAAGAGTGTCCGTGTTTAGTAACGTGTAATTTTCTTATTTTTGTTTTCTTTTACTTGAACGAATCGCTGAAATCAACTTTCTTATTTCTTATTTCTTTTTTCTTTTTTTTCATGTTTTCATTTTAATATTTATTTATTTATTTTTATAACCAGATCTATATGATATGTATATAATTTTTGTATATATATATATACATATCACGCCTCTTTACTATGGTATGAAATATTCGCTTTTTGCCATTGGATTGTCCCTCACTCCCCTCATTCCCAGCCCACCCCAACCCTCTTTTACGGCCACCCTACTAAAGCTTGACATGTAGCATAAGCTTGATGAAATATCATCGAAAAATTTCGGTAATACTTAACAAAAACATTTGAAACTTCGCACTGTTTCGTTCAAAGACAACCCGTTTGTCTTTGATTATTTTTTTTCTTTTTTTGTATTATCAATTTTTTCTCTTCTCTTGTTATTTTTTTTCTTGTCTTTTTTTTTTCTCCATTCTTTTGGCTAACGAACCATATTAATATTTACCGTCATCTCATTGGCTTTGGGCAGTTAACCACCACCGCCTTTATTAGATTATTTGCAAAATTGATGACAAATTTGAAAAAAGAAAACAAAAAAAAGCAAATAAAAAAAAAGAAAATTAATTTTAAATATAATAATAATAAAAAAAGAAAAAAATAATAATTAGAAAACGAGATCGCCGCTAACGCATAAAAATGAAAAACAATTATGGCAATGATAATAATGACAATTAATAGCGTTTTAATATAAGAAAAAGTCAGCAAAGAAATATGAAGAATTTATATGAAACCACGAGACGCATACGCTTCCTCATTTTTACTCTCATATCATCGATAGCCTACGCTAATTTTAATAAGAAATAGTATTATATACATATAAAGAGAAAAAAAATAAAGTATCCATTTGATCGATCGATCGATCGATCTTTWCATCGATCGATCGAGAGTTCAATAAAATAAATTCGAGATCGCGTAAATGACGATCTCTCTTTTTATTTGATTTGATTTGATTTAAACTTGATTTTATTTTATTTTATTCATTTTCTTTTATTTTAAATATTTTAATAACGATTAAATCCAACGTATCTTTTTTTTCTTTTATTATTTTTATATCTATATCCAAATTTTGATATTATATGTTTCATATATTATAGTTTTTTTTCTTTTCATTTTATTTAATTTTTTTGTTATTATTTTAGTTTTTGTTCCTTAAAGATATACAATCGTCACACAATGAAAGTACACGTACGTCCACGTCGGACCAAAGAAAGACAGATGATCGAAAGGATTATAACGAGATGATAAGGAAAGATGTTTCGACAATGCGAAACTTCCGTACGGTACTTCCGATACGAGGACGATCTCAAATGCACGAAATATTTTCGTGAAAGGCGGTGTCAAAGAACGGTCGTGAATCTTGGAAATTTCATAATTAAATTCTTCGATCGCTAAAATACAGAGATAGGACGATATACAATACGCAATCTTTTGTATATATATATAGATATATATATTGCCTATATATTATTACTATATATTTACTTATAATAATAAAATTTTATTTTAACTCGATAATTAAATATTTGATTAAAAATGAATACTTCTTGGAGATAAATTTGTATATAAAACATGTCTTGAATATTTCTACAACTATAATAAATAAATATTTTATTTTTGTTTATATTAAAAAGGTCCGATGTGTGACTGTGTATGACGTATTATTAGATGTTATATACGGCATGTCATCCAAATATTATAATACGCAAAGGCACGAGAACATTCCTCGATATATATAAACGTATACCTGTATGATAATTTCAAATTTATTTTTCGAGAAAGACGTATATAATAATAATAATTAATTATAAGAAAAATTTGATATACTTTTTATAATAAAAAAAAAAATGAGTTTACACGTGTATTCAAATAAATACATAAATCTATTTCGAATCAAATGATAACTCATACGATATACGTTTATACGAGTGTGTACATACAATACATACGTATAATAAAATAAAGAGCAACTATACATTTACTCGATTAAATCGTTTCACTGAATTCAATCCAACGAACTTTCGAATTTAAGAACAGTTTCAAACGCTCTTCTATTTTCGACGTTCAATCAAAGAGCTCGTTATTCCTTTCCCCTGTTTCCCTATATCCTCACCTATCTCTCCTTCTCTTTCTCTCTTTGTTTTATTCCTTTTTGTCGAACTCACAGAGCTAGTCAATTATTTCGTCTCGATATCGATCTCGTGACGAATTTACAATTTACTATTATTTCGAGATAAAGATGATCTCTTACAATTAGTCAAAATTTATGATTAAAAGAAACTATTAAAAGAAAAGAAAAAGAAAATAAATAATAATAAAAGGAATCGAGTAAATGACAGATCGTTGCTTGATTAAACGAACTGCGGGCTATAAGAATATAAGTTTTCTTCTACGGAGACCCTGTCGCAGGGTAAAAAGAAGCGAGAGGGTGGACCTCCAACTGGTGGTGGAACGGGACCGAACGAGATCGTTACTTGTACCAACTGTGGCCCAAATCCATGCACGCACACAGCCACCAATGGTTGCACAGCTGAGGTATGATCTAAGATATTTAATGAATTAGATCAATGTTTTTTTTATAAAAGAAAAACTTTCATTTCAATTATCATCACAGATAATATATGCTTGTATATCATATAATATTTTTACCATATATCTCATTTTGGATAATAAAATTACAATTATTAACGATAATGTTTCTCTTCGTAAATGCACGTATGATGAATCGATACACTTACGGAAAAAAAGTATGATCATGAATATTGAAACAAGAACTTAGAACTTCATAAAAAAAAAAATGCTTTTCACCATCAAATATGCTATTTGAAGACAACGTAAGGTTTGTCCTGAGTATTTTTTCATAAAATCGAAATTAACGTAGATATATTAAGTAATAAAATTAGTTAATACACACATTTTATCATAATTTATAATCTAATATTAAACAACAATTAACATATTATAATTGAATCCAAATTTTATTGTAACATTTAATCGAAAAAAGAAAAAGAAATTAGAAAAAATAAGAATTCTCTAATCTCTCTTTACTTTCTTCCAATCGAACGATAGAGCACGTTAACGAATAATATCTCATCTTACAGATACGAAAAAAAGAACCACCGCATCCAATCAGAGTGGCGAAAACGATCGACGTGATAGCGAGGATCACCTTTCCGGTCGCCTACTTCATGTTCCTTACATTCTTCTTCATCCATTACAAAGGCAGCTCATAGAATAAACGATGAAAAATGGACGATTGATTGATCTTGGACTATGAAAAGATCTAAATGATCTATAAGAGTTCTTCGTTCGTGAAATATTATGGCAAAGACGAAGATAACGATGATTACGATTACGATTACGATTACGATGATGACAAAAACGGCAATATTTGTCGCGTGTGTTAGCATCTCTCTCTCTCTCTCTCTCTCTCTTTCTCTCTCTTTCTCTCTCTCTCTCTTTCTCTCTCTCTTTCTCTCTCTTTCTCTCTCTCTTTCTCTCTCTCTCTCTCTCTCTCAGGAGGATGCCTTTCAATGATTGACCAAGCGTGTCTCGTAAAATATGTGTCCGGCCAAATTATCAGTCGAGAGTAGAAACGAAAAGGAAAAATATAAACAATGCATAAGATTACAAACAAAAAAAACATATATATATTAAGATGTGTAAGATGAGAAGGAAAATAAGGAAGATAAGAAAGAGGACGTGAAGGAAGGAAGGAGGAATAAGAAGAAAAAATATCCTCCAACGAGATTTCGTTTTTCTCTCTCTTTTTCTCTCTTTCTCTTTCTCTTTCTCTCTCTCTCTCTCTCTCTCTCTCTTTCTCTCTCGCATACACACAAATACAAACAAAGGACACAGAACGTACACAATATTGTGATAGCACTCTTAAAAGCATTATTCTGTTCGTCCGGAGAAACGTGATCTGCGGTTGACGTTGGGATAATCTAGTCTCTTCTTCTTCTTCTTCTTCTTCTCCTTCTTCTTCTTCTTCTATTTTCTTAGTTTTTCTTTTCTCTATTTGCTTTTTTTTTATATTTTTTTCAAACAGTCCATGCTCGCTTAGATAGACTGCAATTGCCTGCCCTCGAAGCAGCGAGCGACGTGCTTGTTATATCTATTTGATTGAACAAATCAAATTAAATTAAGATGTAAGATACTTTAAAATAATAATAATAATAATATACGTATATATATATATATATATATATTTAATCAGAGCAATAATTTTGCTGTTGCAAAATTATTTATCCTTAAAAGATCTAAAAAAAATAATGAAGAACCAAAATGGGGAATACGAAATAAAAATGACAATGGAAGGAATTCCACTCGAGGAATCTAGTCAAACGAAAAGCTCTCCATCCAGTCATTATATTATATATATATATATATATATATATATATATATAAATCTTACCGGGAACTACTTCTCTTAACGTATACTCTACTGATATTATAATTATTATTATTATTGTTATTATTATTATTATTATTATTATTATTATTATTATTATTATTATTATTATTATTAATTATTATTATATTATCATGTTATATAATTATTATTTTTATTGTTATTATTACTACTATTAATATTACTATTAGTATTACTATTACCATTACAATAACTATACTATTACTATTACTATAACTATAACTATTACTATTACTATTACTATTACTATTACTATTACTATTACTATTACTATTACTATTACTATTACTATTACCTACTATTATTACTACCGCTACTACCTTATCACTATACCATTATCACTATTACGTATATAAATATTATCGCCAACATTATCGGTACTACGTGCGAGATGATTAATGAACAATGATGATTCGCGTTATACCACGTATACCTTCTTTAATAATAATTGAGCAATATATATATATACATATGTACCGTGAGTCTCACTCAGGAGTATTCGTACTCCCACTGCCAATTTAAAACAATCAATATTTTCTTGTAATACATTTCAAAATTTTTATACACAGAAACATATGTTAGGATTATTCAACTTTGAAATTAATATCAATGTTATTATAAAAGAACATTTTATTAAAATAGAAGTAAAATTTTACACGATTAATTAAAAAAATTAGTCTCGTAAAATATGCCGAATCGTCTAAAAAGCATTATAAGATGCAAGAAAAGGTTAATCAAGTACTACATACCAAAATAATCATTGTATTTTTTATTATATCTTAAGTAAATACAAATACTTTTGTGTGAGATCAATTTTGTTATTTCATTTAAATAAAATTATATTTCTCTGTAAGAATAAAATATTCTATTGCAATAGTATTGATATCAATTTGGAAGTTGAATAAATCCGAATAAAATAGGTTTATACTTATAAGAATTTTGAAGCTTTGCATTCGAACCAAATATCAATTATTTCAAATTTACAGTGAAAACGGGTACGAATACTTCTGTGACTCACTGTATATATATATAATAATACTCTACAGACCAAGCGAGAAGAAGGGAGAGAAATAAAAGAAGAAAAAATGAAAAATAGATGCGTAAAAACGGAACATTCGAGGGAGTTATTAAAGATAATTATCGTAAGACTTATTTGATAATTGTACTAGAGAGAAAGAGAAAGAGGCAAAAAAAAGAAAGAAAAAAGAACGAGATAAAAATTGCGAGTAGAATTAAATGCCGCACGCAGGCTGTAATTGAAAGTGACTGTAATTTTTGTAAAAGAATTCGTAAAAAAGTAACAAGGAAAAGACAAAAATAGAACGAGGGATGTAGAAATTGACAAGACAAAAAAAAAAGAAAAGAAAACATAAAGAAATTCGTCGAATGCAAGGCTCGAAAAAAATTGTAAGTTTTAATTTATATTTCTTCCTTTTTAAGTCTTGATGTTAATGAATTGACCGACTAGGTCCTGCCACTTACGAATATAAACTTAAATTCAAAAGAAACTTACTATGATAGAATTTGACGAGTCGTAGAGCGAAATTTTGAGCGTTCGATTGTTTAAAAAAAAAAAAAGAGCGAATGTGCTTTTCAAAGATATAGTAGGTAGAATACTTATAAAAAACGGCTTTTTTCATCCGTCTCAGTTTTTTCGGAGTCTTACAATGACTTCCTCGTATTACACATTAATATTAATCGCTGCTTTACGAAATTTCGAAAATATCTTCTTGATCGTCAACATCGTACTTAAATACATACATACATATATACATATATAAATACGTACATGTATAGAAAAAGAAAGATATATATATATATACGTATTTTTTAAGCACTGCCAGATACGATTAAGTTCGAAGCACGGATTCATTGTTTTAACAACGATACGCTAAACCGATGATGATGATGATGATGATGGTGATGATTATGATAAAAATAAATTAAAGGATAAATTAATGGATCATCAACAATGGCCGTCTCCGTGCAAAAAACATTCAACGATCGCGTATATACACGTTTCTTCTTGCTTCTGAAATTTTCCTAAATTTAAATAAATAAAAAAAAAATACAGAAAAATAACGATAATAAAATGAATAAATTAATAAAAAGAATGTTTATTTTCTCGCGATCGTTCGTTTTTCATAATTCTTAATAAAGAGGTGTAAATAGATAAATAATTCATCGACGATATAAATATGTGTATATATATGTATGTATATAAAATTATGCTAGATATTAACCAAAAAATGATAAAAGAAAAATAAATAAATGAATAAACATAAACGATGAAAATGGACGATTGAAAACAAGATGGCAGACGATTGTTCTAACAGAAAAAAAAATAAAAAGAAGAAAGATCTGTTCCTTTGGTACACAACCTGAATAATATAATATCATATATACATTATATATGTATATATACTTAAAGAGCTGCGCGAAATCTCGATAATTCATAGATGTTTTCGTTTTGCTGGCGATGTCTTTATAAATTTTAACGTTATTCACTCATATTATATATTAAGCTTATTGAAAATAATACTCTTATGGGGATATATCGAGTCGAGGTGGACAAAAGCGAACAAAATATTCGTAGAGAAATTTTGGAAAATATGAAATTAAAAAAAAATAATAATAATGAAAAGAAAGGAAAAATAATAAGAAGAAAAAAGTATGGAATGATTTGTATTGACTCGGTTCAAAGAGAAAATAACAGCAATGGCACAGACGAATGGCACAGTTTATGCGCATGCAATAAACTTCGCTAGAAGTTGAAATTTAAATTGTTATAAATCGACACAACGAATATTGCGTAGAATGAAAGTGTTTCGCCGTGTTATAAACAATAAGAAAGAAAGAAAAAGAAGAGAGACAGAGAGAGAGAGAGAAAACAAATGTTAAGAAGGAAATTATAAAACCGATTACAAATGATCGTAAAATCGAACAATTTCAGTGAAATGTGCAACGCGTAAAATTTGAAAATTTTCAATTTTTGGGAGAGAGTATATGTGGTAATATATTATTTAAATATATTATAACTCCTATATGAAATTAAAAAAAAGGAAAATAAAAGAAAGGCTTCAGCTGTGTTAAATAATATTCGTAATTTTTCAAGAAATATCTAACAATAAGTGACAAAATTTTTCTGATTAAATAAAAAAATAAAAAAAAGAGAGAAAGAACGATGAACGTTACGTAAAAAAAAAAAAAAAGAAAAAAAATTTAGGGGCAAGAACAATGGGAAGCAATATTTTGCAATGAAATTAAAGACAAAAATACATTAAACAAAACAGCATTGTCGAGTAAAATGACAACCCTCTAATCACCTACGTTTATAAATTTCACGTTGTTGTAGATTAATACGGAAAGAAAAGAAAAATGAAAGAAAAAGAATGAAATAAGAACACCTCTAGGTGATAGGACTGCTAATTAGTTATTTAATTAATTAATGTTACTAACGTTTAAACGCTCCACGGACCAAAACACATAATCCTACAAAGTCTTCACTGCCTTTGCGCAGTTAGCATTTATCGTAATTCACTGGCATCTTGCAGAATAACAAGTTGTATTTTAATCCAATATAATTCTATAAAATTTTGCGCAAATTTATTTAAATAAACGATTAACAAAAATAAATTAACTCCCCATAACAAGATAAAATATTATCACATATTTCTACGTTTACAAGAACATCAAAATAACATATGTAATTCATTTTCTTTTTTCAAATCTCTGGCTGTTCATCAATGCATAAATTTTGTACTATACGAAAATTGAGGATTAAAATATTTGAAATAAATGTTAAAAGAGAAAAAAATGAAAGAAAAATAATAATGAATACATGTAAAATCAAATACGTATTTTTTCCACGAAATGCCAGTAAATAAAATGCTAACTTCACAATGGCGTCCTTATTCTCATATTGTTAGTTGCACTCATTAAAATATCATGCAAAAAAAAAGGTCAACCGCGAATACGCGTAATTTGTGTGCTTATGCAAGTGCCGTACGCCTACTTATATATATACTTATATGAAGAAAACTAAAAAAAAAAGGAAATAAAAATAAAAAACCGTTTGTTACTAATTTTAGATAATCATCGCAAAAGTAAAAAATTTATATAAAAAAAAAATAAGAGTATTAGTATCCCATGGTGAAGCACCGAAATCTCTCGCAAAGTAATATCACGGCTTTAACTGTATCTGTTGTGTCAAACATCGATAATATTCGTGTTTACGGTTTAAAAAAATTAATAACAATATCAAAAAAAAAAAGATCGAAAGGAACTACTCTCATATTTTTCATCCTCTTAAAGAGATTGTATCTCTCAAATTATTCTAAATCGCCGATCTATTAATAATAAATTTTCCTATAATCTAAAAGATTTTTATTTGTTGTACCGATTTCATTTACGTTTAATTAAAATAATAATGTCGCTTTTTCTTTTTTTTTCTTTTATCTGTTGATTAAAAAAAAAGAAAATAATAGAAATAGAGGAGAAAATAGAAATGGAATATTTATAAATATGTAAATAACATAATATGTGATGTGATTACAAAAATCGAAGCGCGATTCGTAGTGTCGAAAAAAATGAAATGATAAATTTATGTAAAGATGAGCCTTATTATAACTTATGTGATATAAAAGCAGGAAGAAAGGGAGAAAGAGAGAGAGAGAGAGAGAGAGAGAGAGAGAGAAAGAAAGAGAGAAAGAGGTACGGTGGAAGAGAAGAAAAGAAAAGAAGACAAAAAAATGAACACACAAAGATCACGCAAATAAGATTCTCATTAAATTTATAAAAATTGTTCTTACTGCTCTTAGTTATTGTTATTATTTTTCGTTTTTCGGTACTATTCTAATTATAAAAAGACATTATTATCCTGTAATACAATTATTCTTGTTATTATTATTCATTATTGTTATTGTTATTGTTATTATCATTGTATTGCCTAAAAAATTATACGGCGATTAGAGACACGTGTGCGCATATACACACCAAATATTGCATACAAACACACATCATACACATACACATACATACATACAACATACATACATATATACATAACACACACAAAGCCGTCGTCGCAAATTAACATTATGAATTATAACTAAAGAGCACTTATATAGCACGTATATTTAAACACTTGCATTGTTAAGGGATACGCGTAATGAAAAAGAAACGAATATATTACTTCGTAACAATCTGCGTTAGATAAAGCTGTGATGTTTAAAAGCCGATAACAGCGTGAAAGAGCGCACGATTATTTTTGCAATATTTAAGGCAAATTAGAAAGAAAGAAAAATAAATGATTCTTAAAGATTAGTTTTCTCCTCCCGCGTATATGCGATACGCGCGTAGGATAACGCACACGCGTAATAATCGTAAACATAAACGAAAATAAAAAAAAAAGAAAAGAAAAATAAACAGAAATAAACAGAGAGAAAAAAGTTATACGAAAAAGAAACGATGACACGCATAAAAATGGGGAGACACTATATAAATCACGATTAACATTAAAGATTATACTGATTCGAACGGATGCATACGTATTATATAAACATTGACAAGTGATTTTTAATCGTAAGCGGGTTTATTGATCACTGTAAACGTATTATGATCGTAACGATTAATTATCTGATTTATCGGCTGTGTTTGTAACGTGATTAAATATTAAAATGTCGATTAAACTAGCGACGTGTTTTATGCCTAGACCAATCCATGTCTAAGCATCCTTCTTCTTGTCAAAAATACATTAAATATATGTTATGTGTATATGTTATGTATATATACATAACATATAATAATATATATATCCTTTGATATTAAACCATTCGTTCAGATGTAAGGTATGTATACCTTTTCCCTTGCATTTGTATTTTGAAAATTGACATACAAAACAAGCATGTAATGTTGTACTTTTTACTTTATACAATCTTATTGCTCTTATTCGTTTTACTTACATTCGCATATAAAGACAGTGAATAATATTCAATATACCTACAGAAATTTTTATACACATATATATATGTGTCGTGTATGATGCGCATTGTGTGTGTGTGTGTGTGTGTGTGTGTGTGTGTGTGTGTGTGTGTGTGTTCGTGGACGTACATATACATATTTATATTTCTTTCCCTTTCCTCAACAGACACTTTTAATTACTTTAGATAATTGATCATCCTTGTCTTTGGTAAAACATTTTTTTATAAGTTTTCACGTTTTTTATAGGCCAACAAATACTTTTTTCATCTTGTATATAAAATTATAAAAGTCAGACTTAAAACTTAACGTGCTTAACTCTAGACACAGCGATGTAAGATTTCTTTGTAGCTAAATCATGCCAACCAACTGGACCTCTTTCACAATCTGCACACGCTAAATATTTTATATTTCCTACTGTATGAGATACTCCAATATTTTCAAACGCAAACATATCTTCTATATACCAATACTCTGTGATCGTTTCTTGTTGATTGCCTTCGCCTTCTCCTTTAGAATGTATGTGCGGTAGTGCAAACTAAAAATGATTACATGTTTTAATGTAAAATTTGTATCATCAGATATTTTACTAATACTTGCTAGAACATAAAGTTTACGTTACATTCAGATTAGAAAATAATTTATAAAAGCTTTAAAGTAATTAAATTATTCAAATATATTTAATGTAATTTACCTCCATTGTAACAAAAACAGCAGTTTCTGCATTAAGTATCTTTGATGGGCAGAAAGAGCAAAATATTTTTTCCTTATTCCTTCCATCTGAATATGTTCCAATATTTATATTACCTTCATTCGTCGACATACCTTAGCTTTTATAATAAACTTATGAATAAAACAAATAATCACTTAAATATTATATTATCACTAATATGATTAAAACAATGGCGCCATAAATTAATATCACTATTTTAACTCGTAAACTTCGGATTAAAAAATTATAACCTATAACCAATAAAGCTGTCTCTAATAGTCACTCATCTTTAGCAACTATCGATAATCGCAAATCGATAATATCATTTCGATATCAATTGATGATAATTTTAAAAATAAATAAGTATTTAAATTTTATAATACTTATGCTATTACTATTTTATTATATAAAATAATAAAATATATAAACTATATATATGAAATAAATAATCTATTTAAATATATCATATACATAAAGAATCACAAGAAGCAGAACATCTGAATGTCTCTGTTGGATTTAAAGATATGAAGTATGGCTACATCAAATTTAGAATGACTGTAAAGGGTGCACATGATCATTATATTATTCTTTTTAATGTTTTCAAGATCACCAATGTTTTTTCTAAATGAAATTGGATATTTTTTTTCTATGCATAATTATAGATGACATTTTAACGAGTTCAACAATGCAACACAATAAAAACTTAACCTAAAAATATAGAATAAACAAAATTTAAGGTGTAAGGTTTATTTACTTTATTTTCTTTATTTTTATTACACTAAATTTTCAAAATGATTTCATTAAACTTATAGTAACATTAGAACAACAACAATATAATTGTAGCGCCGTACAGAAGATATTAATTACATTTTATAACTAAGTACATATAAGCGATCAAACAGTAAAAAATATATATAAGTATCAAAGTATGAAATTTATTAATTCTTGAAATAATTAGCTATTAATGCAATACATTTATTTTTTTTTAATTATTTAATTAAAGCAATTACATGAAATAACAAAGCTAACCAGTTAAGGTAGAAAGAAGACAGAATCGTATACTTCAATTAGGTAATATATGAATGCCCAAGAGAGGTAAATAGTTAAGTTATGAAATTGAAATTTGTTACAAAGTATAAGAAAAATATTCTTCGATTTTATTTCAATATCTGCACTGTTATATATTTTATTTCTTTCTATTCTTTGAAAACTGATTTACTATTAGTCATGTTGTTCTATCAACTTTTATTAATTCTCTGAGCGTCAAAGACTTCAAGAATCTATATGTAAGCAGTACACATTAACATAAATAATCAAACAAACACAATATTATCTAGTATACACAACAATATAATTTTTAAAATTCATTATTGGTCTTTTTGTAAGCAGTTTCCAATTGTATTTGACAAATTTCTCATCGAATGGAAGTGGATCTGTAATACGTTCTTGGTCTTCTGCAGGTCCAATAACAAATATTATGTTTCCTTCATAATTAGCTATGTAATTACAAAAGGCTTCTCCATTATTAAAGTAGCAGAATAAAACTGCATGATCTTTTGGTACCAAATAGTTATTCCCTTTACTTTCATTAATAAAAATAACATTTTCAAGAAATAATGGAGGAGCATATTTACTTCGCCACCATGAAATATCCAGTTCTATACCAATAATATTTAAACCTAAAAATTGGAAAAAAAATTTAATATTTATTTAGTTTTTAGTAAAAAATTTATATATCTTGAACGATTTCAAAATTTCTGTACTCTATAAGTACTTACCAGAAAAATTTTGCAATAACCACTCGATCAAGCCACAACCGCAGCCTATACTAATTATTCCTAATATTTTATACTCTTTAATTATTTCAGTCATCCAACTTAAATCATCTAAAGTTGGAAGTACCCAAAATAATCTATAGTTTTTTGAGTTATCAATAACGGAAGCTAAATTCACAATGTCTTTCCAATTATGGTCATTATGTAATCTAAGAATAACTTCATCAATATTTTCAGCATTCATTTCTCGTATATAAAAGTATAAAATAATTTTATAACACAAAATGTATGTAATTAAATGGCTAATTGATATAAAACCATATATTTGTTACACAAAATTGTTAACACACAAATGGATTATGTTAGATGAAAGAGTTACAATTATATACCTTTATAGACAGAACGAGTTATGCAATTCATATCTATTAATATAGACTTATATAAATATTCTGTACAAATTTAGGCACATATACATACATATATATATATATATATGATAGTAGATCCATCGTTTCTTTGAAATTTATTTTCATTTTTCTTACTTATAAAATATTGTATAAATACGTTTGAAACAATCATAAAATATATACTGCACAACAGTCAGTCATTAAGAATTTAATTAAGAAAAAAAAACAAATACATATTTTTAATTAAGATTAATGGGTTGTAATGCAAAATGAATATCATCTGCTGATGCATTTAACAAAATTCTTTGATGTATATCCATCCGTGCATTGTCACGTATTATCAATCTACTAGCTTCCAATCTTCCACATATAGCAAATACTTCTGTTATATTAGGTATCCGAATACCTATAAAAATAATACAAATAAATTTTTTGTTGTTTGTTACTAATTTTAATCTAACATACAAACCTTCAAAGGAGCATACAGAACAAAGTTGATGATATACATCTTTAAAACAAGCTTCTTCGATACTAGTTCGTGTTACTAGTGCAGATATAGATTGCAAAAACATTTGCTCCATTTTTGAACAATGTTTTATAGCTTGAACTTTAGAGCTTTCAATCATTTCTGATAGAGCTTCATTTACATCTTGCATGGTAACTTTTTCTCTTTCATGCAGTTCTGCAATCTCAGTGGCACGTCGACATATATCTAAAGCCCTACGAGCATCTCCAGATACAGCAGATACTTTCCTATTATATAAAAAATTGTATTTATGAAATATGTTGAATAAATGTATAAAGAATAACTAATTCACTTGAAATTCAAAAAGATTTGGATAACAATATTTACTACTTGCCGTGCAACTAATTGTATAGCTTCGCTTCTGAATGCATCTGAATCCTTAAGTCTTGTTAATACTATTTCTTGTAATTGTTTATGATTGTATGGTTGAAATGTTAATCGCGTAAGACCTAATCGTGAAGTAACACGACCCATTAATACTCTTTCTGGCAAATCCATAGTATTAGCTATGGTAATAACAACTAATTGTGCATTCGCTTTAGTAGGCCAATCTAGTAAATTATAAACTACATCCTGTCGTTTTGTGCACAAAAGATCAAGCTATATTTACAAACAAAACAGAAAAAGGAATTGTCTAAATAAATCAAACGATAAAAAAAAAAGACAATACATATTTACATGCATTAATAAGGCAAACTAGAGAAATATTAATATATACATAATTCAATAATTATAAATTAAATAAATTTATATGGACAATTTACCTCATCTACAAGTAACAAAGTCATTAGCCTTTTAGAATTTTTACTAGTAAATCGTTTTTCAAGTTCATGATATGCTTTTTCCCATGTACAAGTGTTACCATTATTCATCTGCTTCCAAATTTGCACATAAGCTTGTCTCGGTTCTGTCAACTTCATACCATTAATTTCAAAAAAGTTAAAATCATCCAGTTTTCCTTTTGCCACTGATCTTTTTAAACAACGTATTACTTCATTTACAGTTGCAGTTTTACCTGTTCCAGGAACTCCGCTTATGTAAATGCATCTATATATAAACAAATATTAAAAATATTTGATACTTATGGAAATAAAAATCTTTCATGATATTAATATGATAGTTTACTATCAACATACCCTCCACATTTATCCTTTAATTTTCCTTCCAAAAATGTGAAAATATTATTAAATTCTTCTTCTCTACAAGGTAATGATTTTGGTATAACGCTTACATGTAATTTAGATCTACTTTGTTGTAAAGGTGTTAATGGCTTTGTTAATAATGAAGTTCTTTTTTCCATAGATGGTGTCAAATTATTTAATTTAAATGAAACAGATGCTTTTGGTGTCCTTATATTTTTCAAATCTTTGGATTCTTTCTGTTCCTGCCTATTATTTTTCTTTTTTGGTGTTAAAACATTATTTGACATCATCTTAATACCATCGCATAAATCATTTATTTCTTCTTCGTCATTATCTCTATTTTGTTCATCTAATAATTTATTCTTAGCAGTCTGTCTATGTTTTTTAGTTAATAATAAAGTATTATCAGTATTATTTAAATCTTCATCCATTATATCTATTGTAAATTTTGTACGAGCAATACGTTTAGTTGCTTTCTTAGGTGTATCTGTAATATTTTGTAACTGATTATCATCTACAATTTGTATACTTTCTTCTGTATCATTTAATACTTCTGATAATTGTTTCTGTTTTATTAAACGTCCTTTAAAATCACTATCTTCATGTTTATTATGCTCTGAAGATGAATTATGGTTAGTAAGATCCTCGTTGCAATTAATAGTTCTTCTTGTTCTTAATCTTAAAGAATCAAAATCAGGAGCTATATCACATTCATAATCACTGAATCTTTTAGGTCGACTGCGACGTCTTTCTATTCTACGTGGTGATTCCACCGGATCATTGTTTTCCTTTATGTTTTTAGTAATCTTCTTATTACTAAAAAAAAAATTTGAATATTATACAAAATGTAAACAGAATTAACAGTAAACAAACAAAAACATGATCATATTTATATTCTTACCTTCTATTATCAATTTTATAATTGCTTTGCTCCGTAGAACGTCTCAATTTAATTTTCAATGAAGTTGTGGATTTTCTAGTGGAACTATTCTTTGACATGGATTTGTTCGAGTCAAATAATTCATCGGATTCGAAATAATTTATATTTTTGTTTTTGTTAGGTTCTACCAAATGATCATTGATTGCAATTCTGTGTAATTTAATTACAGGAATTTTACTTTCTATATCAGACATCAACAAATGATATATTTCGTTATCGGAACACTTATTCAATTTTGCATTCATTTTGAAGTCTCTTTAATAATCTCTTTAATAATCTCAGGTTGTCCGTCTTTTTTATAAGAGAGTTTATATCTTACAGGAGGGCCTAGAAAAAATGCCTTAAAATTAATAGAATTACTTTATGCAAACTTGGTGTTATAATATATCAATTATTACCAGTATATTTAATTTCGGGGGAGAAACATTCATCAGAGGATTGAAAACTTTCTTCGCTAATTTCGTTTCTTTTTCTTTTTACTGTTACAGTCTTCTGTATCTTTTCTTTATCTTTTATTTGAACTGCGGGTGTAGTACTCTTTGATTTTGTATCTAAAAAAGTATAAAATTATTATTACTGCTTTAAAAACAAATATTATGATTTCTTACTAAACATATTATCCGAACAATTAGAATAATTAAGAAATTGTTTGCCTTTTAAACTAATTTCTTCCATAGTACATATTTCAATTTTTTTAAGATTATTATAAAAATTTTGATTTAATTTAAATAATTAAATGTAAATAAATATGTAAACGATGTCTAATATGTATAATATATTTATTTATTAATTATTAAATATAGCAATAATATCACTGCAATGGAAATATCAATCTAAACAAACGTAACCTTTCTTTCTTATAGTGTATGTCTGCCTCTCTAAATATTATACTACTGAATATAGAACCTGTTCTCTTTTTCCCGCCATAACAAGTGTGAAAACTTAAGCGACACATATAATTAAATTTATAAATTTTTGGCGGGCTACTAAATTGTTCTACATAGTACTAGTTAAGAAATACTTATAGCATTTATCTAAGCTTAAATCTATATAAAAATAGTTTTTATCGTTAATATTTATTATTTATTTTTGTAGAATTAATTATATTAGTAAAAATTTAATTATTTATAACAAATTAAAAATAAAAAGTTTTCATCAATAAGATTTGTGTATATCATATTTGACATTAGTAGTACGTATATGTACATATATAATTTAAATTTTATATACTGTAGAACCGTTAGTGTTTAATGGTTTTTTAAAAAACTGTTACCGTTTAAAAATACTTTTAACACAAAGACTTTCAGATATTCTCCATTACAAAGAAAAAAAGATTTACAATGCGCATATATTTGAAGGAAATAATACTTTATAATTTTAAATCATTTTGTGGTGAAGTAATTATCGGTCCGTTTAAGCCTTTTTGTGCAATTATTGGACCAAATGGCACTGGTAATATATATACATACATTCTTAATTATTTATTGTATATTCTCATTTTTGTAATGAATTCACAAAATATTTGCTCAATATATATATTGTATATATATATATATATATATGCTTATATATTTCTAGGAAAATCTAATATTATGGATGCGATTAGTTTTGTAATGGGAGAGAAAATTAGTAGTTTACGTGCTCATCGATTAAATGATCTTATATCCCATAAGTCTGATGGAACATTAATATCACATAGGTATTTGATTTTATATTACCATTGTTTTTGTTTTTCATTTTTATTTATGATATCATTATTTTCTTTTGTTTGATATCATTATAATCAAAAGAATTATTATCGTTATTTGTAGTACACATGTAACAGCTATTTTTGAAATAGAAGGTAAGGGTAAGAAATTTACCCGTAAAATTCAAAATTCTTCCAATATATATAGTATAAATAACAAGGTAAAATAAAAAAGATATTTTCCTTTTATTAAGTAAATAGAAATTCAATTTTATGTAAATTACAATAACTCTTATAATATAATAAAATGTTTAGATTGTTAAATTTGAATTTTACATACATGAACTTATATCGCTTGGACTTAATGTAAAAAGTAAGAATTTCCTAATATTTCAAGGAAGTATTGATTCAATGAGTGTAATAAATCCTAAAGAAATTTCTATTATGTTGGATGAAATTAGCACGTCTGCCGAACTAAAATCGGAATACAAAACGTAATATAAGAAATAATTATTCTTTTTTAAATTATTTGATTATTTTAAGTTATAAGGAAAATATTTAATATCTACCTTTACTTATGTAGATTAAAAAACGAAATGCAAAAATGTGATCTAGATTTTCATCATATGATTAAAAAAAAAAAGTGCCTCACAGTTGAAAAGAAACGTCTTATATTACAGCAAGAGGAAGCAAAAGAATATAATTTATTACGAAAGGAATATGTATGTTAACTTGTTATTGTACTCTAAAAAACATTTTACATTATGATTTATGTTCTTTATCTTCTTTAAAATATTTAGCAAGATAAAAAAACAGAATTACAACTATTTAGATTGTTCCATATAAAAAGAGATCTTGAGAATTTACAATTACTTTGGAACGACAATAAATCCAAAATGGATAAATATGAAGATGAGAAAAGAAAGGCAGAAATTATATTGGAACAAAAGAAGAAAATATATTTTGAAATAATGGATCAAGAAGCAATGATGGAAGATAATTTGACAAAAACAAATTTACAACAGGCTCAACAAACTACACAGTTAACCGCTGCAAAAGAAAAAATTTCTTATTTACAACAGAAGATTTCATTTATTCATAAATCTTTAACTAAAGCACAACATGCGAATGAAGTACATCATAAGACTATGGAAGATTTAAAAAATGAATTGGCAAAAATAGAAGCATTAAAAATTAATTTAACGCAAAGCGTTTCAAGTGAACTTGAATCGCAACAAAGTAACTTTGAACTGGACAATGCTCAAGTATTATACAATATTTACATAGTCTTTATAATATATTTTTTTAATTATGTTTTCTTTTAATTCAATATAAAATTTTAATTTACATATTTTTTTTATAAAGGTAGAAACCTATTATTATTTAAAAGGTAAAGTAGAAGGAAAGTGTGAAAAACAAACGAAAAATCTAAATTCTCTTAAGTATGACCAAGAGAACGATCAAAATAAACTTGATAATGAAAAACAAAAGAGAGTTGAATTGGAAGATCAAAAGAAAAGATTACAATTCATGTTAAAAGAAACAGAAAAGCGAGTAAACCTATTAGAGCAGTATATAATAACAACTGAAGTTACTTTAGAAGAACAAAAAACACTTAAACATAATCTTAAAGATGAAATAATACAAAATAATGTTATTATGGAAGAAACACAAATGGAACTCAATAGAATTACAAATAAATTAGATGCTATTCAAGTAGATAAATTCGTAACTGCAAGAGAATGCGAAAAATTAAATACAATTAGAGTTTTAAAAGATTTATTTCCAGAAGTGGTAGTTTTATATCTTATTAATTAATTTTAACTTTAAAATTTTTCTTTTCTATAACTATGTTATATTTTATGCTTTCAGTATGGCCGTTTATTTACTTTGTGTAAACCAATTCATGAACGATATAATATTGCTGTAATTAAAGTACTTTGGCATTTCAAAGATGCAATCGTTGTTAAAACAGAAAAAGTGGCGAGAAAATGCATTGATTATTTGAAACAACAACAAATAAGTGTAGAAACATTTTTACCACTTGATTCTTTAAAGATTCAATCTCGCAGTGACCAGCTTCGACATAATTTGAAGTATTATTTTTTAAAAATATAAATAAACATTATGTAAGTAAAAATTTCAAATCCAACAGCAAAATTTTCAAGTGTTCATCTGTTCATAGAACTATGAGTGATCTACAAAATGTGCAGCTATTGTATGATGTAATAGAATGCTTTCCTAAAGAAATTTCTAATGCTATCTTATTTGTGACTAAAAATACGCTTTTATGTGAAACACCAGAAGATGCTAGAAGAGTTGCATATGAAATTCATTCGAATCAGAGATACACAGTAAGTAACTTACAAATTGTATGCTTATTATACTTTAATAAGTATTAATTAATTTTATCTTTCATTAAAATATTTTTATTATATAATAGTGTGTTGCACTTGATGGAAGTTATTACCAGAAATCAGGCTTAATTTCTGGAGGATCTTTTGAACTATCAACCAAAGCTACTGTATGGAAGGATAAGCAAACACAAGAGATGAAGTTACAAAAAGTTCTTATTTCTTTTCTTTTCTATATATAATTATATAAATAACAATTTTGATTTTAATAAGAATAATTTTAGGAAACTTTAATTAAAAAAATGAAGGAGGTTTTAAAATGTTTTAAAAAACAATCTGAGCTGAGTACAATAAACTCTGAAATTTTGAGTCTCATTAACAAATTAAAATACAGTCGTGTCGATTTAGACAATATTGTAAGTGTCCTTTGTGAATATATTATTGATTTTTTGTAGTATCTGATTTATATAATATGTTTATTTTCAGAAAAAACAAGTAATTTATTTGGAAACACATATCGAAAACATAAATCACCAACTAATATCAATAGTTGTAAGTATTTAATATATTTTGCTAGCATTAATATTAATTATAATTAGATATATTCTTTTAACTATTATTAATTTTATATATATACATTTTTCTTTTTATCTTTTTGTAGGATAATATAGAATCAACTCAGAAAATTGTGAATAAAAGACAGAAAAATATTGAAAATATTGAAAATGAAAAAAAAAAAGTGGAAAATGCAATATTTTCTATGTTTTGTAAAAATATTAACGTTGCCGATATTCGTGAATATGAAAATGGCAGATTACGGTATTTGTTTTATTATATTATTAGTATATTAAATAAATAATATTATATATATTTTATAACATATCTTTCACAGAATACGTGGGCAACAAAAAAAACGAGAAATGGAGTTAGAAAATCAATGTAATTGCATAAGAAATGCATTAGATTTAGAAATACATCATAATACAGAAGGTTTTAAATTACTTCAATACTTGATTATAACTTTTAAATATTTAGCACATTAATTTGTTAATATGTTATTATATATACTTAATATATTAATTTTGTATATATACACGTTACCATAGATGAGATAACAAAGTATAAAAATGCTATTCAAACTGCTGAAGAACAATTAAAAATAGCACTTGAAGAAGAGTCTGCAATTACAGATGTTATTAATAAACAGAACAATGAATTACAAAATTTAAGCCACATTCATACAAATTTAAAAACGGAAGTAATTAAAATGAAAAATGAAGTAGCGCTATGCAGACATCAGATTGGTATAATTACCAAATTGATTTTAGAAACAAGAAGAGAAGATACGATAATTGCAATAAAAATTAACCAAAAAAAAGCAGAAACGGATAGTATACTTAAAAACTGTCAGGTTAAATTACTTTATTAAATTAATTTCTTTTTTATATATATGAATACACATAAACTATAATATACAAATTGTATAAAATTTAACTTAAATATTTTTTTACTCATTTGCATTAGATGGAAGATATAATAATTCCTATGTCTAATCAAAAAACCCTAAGTGATTCTTCATGGACATCTTCAATAAATACTTCAAGCTCAAATACAGTAGGACAAAGTGAAGATAATATTTTATCAAAAATAAATTTTTCATCTATGTTGCATGAATTGCAAACAATTAATGAAGATCAATTCAATAACGTCAAAAGAAAATTAGAAATAAACATTGATGCAATAAAACATAAATTGGAATTAATATCGGCTCCAAATTTGAAGGTTTTAATTAATACGTAATATATATAAAAATATCAATAATATATTTCGATGAGATAATATATTATATTATTCAATTGTAAGTAATTATTTTTTAATTATTAACCAGTAATTTATTAATTATAATACAGGCAGATGAAAACTTGATGTTAGTTTACGAGAAGTTGAACATAATAAATAAAATTATAAAAAATATACGCAATGCTGCTAATATTGCAAAAAACAAATTTACAAAAGTAAAAGAAGAAAGAATTAATAGATTTATGAAATGTTTTGACTATCTTACTTTTCATGTAGATTATATTTATAAAGTAAGAGATATTTATTTTATTTTAATTTATATCATTTTTGTTTTAAATCTTATTACTTTTTACAGTATTTACTTAAAAATAAGTCTGCTCAAGCTTTCCTTGTTCCGCACAATCCAGAAGAACCATATTTAAACGACATAAATTACAGTTGCATGGTACCAGGGAAAAATTTTAATGTCTTATCGAGTCTTTCAGGAGGTGAACAAGTATTTGCTGTTCTAGCTTTACTATTTGCGATGCACAGGTACAGCTTATCTTAATATTTACTAATTAATTTACGATATGTTTAAATGTAATATCTATTTACATTTATATTATAGATATGAAGCTGCACCATTTATTATTTTGGATGAAATAGATGCAAGTTTGGATAAAATTAACGTTGAAAACTTTGTTAATTTTATCCAATCCAATCTTGATTTAATGCACTTCATAATAATATCATTAAAAGATAAATTATTTGTTAATGCCGATAATCTTATTGGAGTCACTGCTAAAGTAACGTTTTATTAACATTTTTCTTTCATATGTTTTTTTTATCTTATAGAGAAAAATATATATATATATATGTTTTATTTTTATTACAGCAAGAAGGAGAAATTTTAGAAAGCAGTGTATTCATTGTTTCATTCGACTTATATAAATATAATACAAATCATTAAATGATAAAGTACAATATACTTTTATGGTCATCGTAATAAATTGACGAGTTCATCGGATTATTAAAAAAAAAGTAAGATAAAATTTAATATTTTTGTTTGTTTTATATGAATCTTATTTAATACCTTTATAATTAATTGAATCGTTAAATGTACACATATTCTAATTTTATTTTTATTTAAATATATATCAGAAATAACGTTTCTATTTAAAATTATTTTATTACTATTAGAGTAACATTATAACATTATTCATATTTGTGCGTATGTAGAGTGTGTATATCACTGATCATATATCATTCTTCATTTATAAAACAGCCTTGACTTTAAAGCTAATAATTTAAATTTGAAATACTACAGTTTAAAACAATAATTAGATGAAAAAAATATTATTATTATAAAATAAACAATTTCATATGATAAACGAAGCATTTAAATTCACTTGTCAATGTTAAAATTTGTATTGAATAAGTCATAATATTATGAAAATAAAAATCTTAATATTAATATTTATTAGGAATATAATATTAATAATCTATAGTTTTCCATTGTAAAGTCACTATAAATTATATTTTGTAAGACTTGTCTTGCATATTAAAATTTGCTGATATCAACTATATTCAATACTTTTACTAAAAATTGATAATTGTTCTATTTCACTAATTTTCCATCTATTAATATTATATTTCCTATAAACGTTAAAGACCATTTTGTAATACATTAAAGGCAGCTCCTAAAGCCCAACTTAATTCATGTCCATTGATTTTCTTATACAACTGCAACAGAAACATTCATTTCACTAACCAAATATAATCTTATATATTTCTTATTTATATTTTAGATTCATATCATTGTTTAAATAAATATATATATATTCACATAAATTTTACTTACAAATAACCTTGTAGAAGGATCTAAGCCAAAACCATTATGTAACAAGACATAAATAAATGTCAAATCCAAGCACATAAATGGTTGATCTGTATTAGGATAATCACAAGTTTCCGTAGCTTGTTTCAAAAAAGCACCTAAGTGTATAGCACCACCAGTGAAGGGATCTATTAAACCTACCTGTAGTAATTAATTATTGATTTAAATTAAATTATACAGAGAATAGAAAAGATAGAAAAATAAAAATATGTAAATTTACCTCAGTCGCGCGTTCAAAGTAATAAGAAAAAGCATATATTTCATGAGTGTTTAGTCCTATCGGCTTATTGCTTATTGTATTGACATATTTTTCTATAATCTTTAAGCATTCTGAAAATCTTACAATCGGTCTATTCTCATCACCTCCTGCAAAATTTTGCGTCTTAACTGTTTTAAGTGTTCCATTAACAGGTCCTTTAACTATATAATTTTTTCCTCCATAACTCCATTCAGTATTTACAATTGGATTTATGCATTCTGATCTGATTACTATTGGGCCTTTGTCAGTAGTATTTTTTATATTCATTCCATGCATCAAAATTTCTTTTCTAGCTGCCATTAAACCCATTCCTAAATAACTATGCGTATATACACTCATATTATGACTAAAGGCATTAATAGCATAGACATGTTCTTTCAATTCTTTTGCTTGCATTTTATTTGGTGCAAATGTTACTTGCGTAGAGCCCCCTCCAAGATCAAGTGCAGCTACTGTGTTTTCAGATGTATGGGAATTAAGTTTATCCAATAAGAAATTTACAGTAAACCAAGAAAAAATTCCTTCACTGGCTCCGTCCATTATAGAAATAGCATTTTTGGATACCTTAAAGCCGGATGATTCAAAAAGTTTACTACATTCTTCAAGTATATTATTTGCTTTATGTCCAGGTAGTAATCTAAGGCCAGCAGTAGCCTTCATACTAAGCGGTGTATTAACCCATTCTGATTGTGGTATAACTGTCTTTGCTTTGTCCAACAATTTAATAAGAGATTTAGCAGCAAATTTAGGATCGTCAGCAAATGCACTTAATCCAGGTTTAGTATCACTATATAATTCAGCATCTAGTACTAGATGACGATTTAGAATTGACTCATGGAAACTAAATGCTAATACACGACTACCAGTAGATCCAGCATCAATGATAACAACATAAAAAGGCTTTTGTATATTTAATGAAAATGCTAATGTGTCAATAACTTTACTACCAATTCTTATTGGCTTTAAATCATTAGCTATTGCAATATAACCAAGGAATAATGCACCAAGTAAAGCAACTATTATAAAATATTTTCTCCCAAGTTGACTGGTACTTTTCTTCGTACTGGATGATGATACATTCTCATAGACTTTCTCATTTCCAGACTTCAGCTAAAAAAAAAATATATCAATAAGAATATAGATATAAAAAATATTTCTAAAAATAATTAAGCACAAAATTTGCATCATAAACATAGTATCATAATTAATAATACCTTAATAATTATGCGCATTCGAGTTTAAATTTTATAATCAAAATAAAATTCTATTAATAAAATTCAATCCTTTGGAAATAACGATATATTATACATGTAATTAAAATGTGCCTGTCATATATTAAACAAATGAAGAAAATAATGAATAAAAAGATATATCAAAATAAATAAAAAATAAAGTTTAACCACGAATCATGCAAAGATATAAGACATACAAAAGCAAAACATCGAGGTGCATAATTATAACTCACAAGTCTATATTGCATCTAGTGAACACAGAGCGCGTGTTTCTTTAGAAAAAATGAAATATTCTAATTATATCTTAACAATAAATGAAATTTTTGTATGTCATAAACCTCTCATCGTCCATATTTCTGTACAATACTCAAAATTGTGGAATAGATAAGAATACATTCTATCTTTACCCGACTGTATATACGTGTCATGTAACATATATATATATAATATATGATATATATATATACACTTCTTGGCGCGATATACACGTGGCTTTTAGCTCGTATATTATATATGTGTGTAAACAGATGTGTATATATGTCATTATGTGTTGTATTAAGAAGTAACGAAGAAGAGTAGTAAAAAATAGTAATAAATCCATTTCATAGCTTGCATTTATGATTTCATCATAATAATGACCATCAATAGTTTATACAGTAAGTAACGTGTAACATTTTTCATAAGAAATCACAATTATTTGATAAAATAATTTGAAGGAGAAAAAATATAACTGTTTCATCCCAAAAAAAGAAAAAAAAAGAACTCTTTCTCATTATTCGAAATTAGATTCGATAACTTGAATTACGCAACCTTTCTAGAATCTTAGGAACTAATTAATAACTGTAACTATATTATATATATAATTTGTGTATATATATTTATACAATATATATACTTATATTAGATACCTTTCTCTGTCTTGCACTCATTTTGCCTGATTGTTTACAATAAAATTAAAATAAAAAATAAGTAAAATAAGCAGTGTAGATTATAGCGAAACGCACGTCAAAAACTAATTGTTACTGCTTGACGAAGATACTTTGAACTCGTCGTCTCCGAATGTTTTACACAACAAGGAACCTATTGAAGTCCAGTATATATTGAAATCATCGTGATCTGGCACTATACGATAACATTTTCAAGGTCATTCCCACTTATGATATTTTTTTACAAAATTTTGTATTTCAATAAATACATATAAAAATTATTTATTTATATGTTTACAGGTTTACATACATCTTTTTATTTTTATATAATTTTTATTTATTTATTTATTGCGATAAAAAAAATAATAATTAACGCAAAATTATTATGTACTGTAATAAAGGTGATTTGTTCATAACCTATTATTTATTTACGCATAATTGTAGGTTAAACATGATCTATATATATATATATATATATATATTTGTTCATCTTTAATCAGTAATAGAGAGTTAAATCTTATTTTCGACAATTTGATATCTTATCTTGTAGGGTATTTTTTGAAAGAATTTTTATTAGCCAATATATTTTGTCTTTTCTTTACGATATTTAATTTGTAGCCTTGGCATATGAGCCATTTACAGGTCAAAGTGATTAACTCCACTGTTAAAATGTTTTGAAATTTCAGTGTCACAACGTTTGATATATATGCTAAACTTTTAATATTTAAAAATAAATTTTCTTAATAATTAGATTTTGAAAATATCAATGGTTTGTACAATAGGATTACAATATAATCTAATAATAATATATTATTTCATTTATTTATGTATATATAAATAGAAATTCTGTATTAAGTCTAAATATGGTATATGTGTGAGAATAGTATAAAGTTTTTCTTATGTAGTTTTGTATATACTATGTAATAAGCAATAAAGTATTTATAGAAAACATTTAAGCAATATTTTTTCATGATAGACTAATTTAATTATATCTACATAAAATGTTTTTTCGTCTCTATAATTAAGTAACTATAGAGTAATAAAAGTTATTCTTTTGTTTATTTATTAGTTATCTATCATTTTATTTTGTAATAGTGCTTTCATTTATTCTCTTACAATTAGAAATAAAAGTGCAATTACGCAATATGCAAGATAAAGTAATTTATATTATTATTTAAAAATGCATTATCATTGATGATAAAGAAATGCTGTATGTGAAAAATTTTTTGCTATACTTAAAAAGATAATTGATATAATGATATACATATTTAATATAAGTTTCTTATTCATTATTTAAATTTATCGAGTAGTTAACTGTACATTTGGTGTAATGAAATTTGTTAAGAAACTGTTCTGAAAAAATAGTTAGAAAAGTTTCAGAGGTTAGAATTGTTAAATGTAAAAATAGACTGCAAGTCAGTAAACACATTTATAGCATGTGTTCATAGTAGAAAAATCCCGAGTATTCTGTAAGTTCTTTTCATTCAAGAAAAAGCTCTCTTACAATGGATACTGTTAATTTCAGACAGTCTTAGTTAATACATCATATAAATATATATGGGTTTATTTATGTATATTATTTTATTCGTAGTGAATGTTCCTATAAATATAAGGAATAAAAATTGTTGATTATTGTGATATTAATAAGATATTATAAAAGATGTTAAAAATAAAAAGCTAAAAAGATGTATCAACAAAAAGTACATCCGCAAAGGAGTTTGATAAAAGAAGGCGTCATACAAATTGGTGCCGGTGGTTCTGCAGGCTTTGTTGAAGTTTGTATAATGCATCCAATGGATCTTGTTAAAACACGATTTCAACTTCAAGTTAGAATGCAAGCAGCAGATGCCACCTACTACACAGGTATTTATAACGCGATTATAAGAATTATGTTAAAGCAGTTATTCAATGCTCTTGCTTATTGCTATAGGAATTATAGATTGTATGCATAAGATGTGTAAATCTGAAGGTGTTACTGCGCTTTGGAAAGGATTGCTTCCGCCAATTATCGTAGAAACACCTAAAAGAGCAGTAAAAGTAGGTATTGAATAATTTAGTAATAAAGATCTTTTTTGATTATATTATGATTTATTTGTTATAATTTTTGTTCTTTTAGTTTTTTACATTCGAACAATACAAACAATTCTTCTTATTTGGTGCTGCGTCACCTAGTCCTTTGGTAACAATGATTGATTGAATCATTATTTTTATTAATATATATATGTATATTTATATATTTATATATTCTCTAAAACAGAAGTTTAACATAAAAATTATTGTAGACATTCTCATGTGCTGGCTTTTTTGCTGGAGTTACTGAGGGTGTTTTAGTAAATCCTTTTGAAGTTATTAAAGTAAAACAACAATCGAATCGTGTTGGAAGACCTTCGACTGCTATTGTAACAAGAGAAATTATATCAAAATATGGATTTGGATTAAATGGACTTTACAGAGGACTGTCTGCCACTATAATGAGAAATGCTGTATTTAATTCTTTTTATTTTGGATTTTATCATTCTGTAAAAAATTATATACCAGTAAATAAAGATCCTTTGCTCGAATTTGGAACTAAGGTAATTATGATATAATGCTTATGAACATTTCTTGTATTATGTTTCTAATAAAATATTATTGATTGCTTAGGTCAGTTTAGGTTTCGTGTCAGGAACGGTAGCTTCTTGTTTAAATATACCTTTTGATGTAGCTAAAAGTCGTATACAAGGACCACAAGGAAATATACAATACAAAGGAACACTAAATACTATTTGTATTATTTATAAAAATGAAGGGTATGGTATTACCTGTAAATTTGCACACAATTTGCTAAACGTTGCCTAAAAATTGATAGAATACTAAAAATTATTTATATTTTATTAGTTCTTTTTTTATATTTCAGATTTAAAGCTTTATACAAAGGTTTATTGCCAAAGGTATTGAGATTGGGCCCAGGAGGAGCTATTATGCTTGTAGTTTATGATTATATGCATGTTTATCTTACTGAAAAGTTTTCATATTGATTTCTAAATATGATGCTGTGTACAATAAGAATATAACATTAAGTAAATCAATAAGTAATACATATTATTTTACAGTATAATAAAAAATGTGCATTTTGTTACCATAACAATTAACGGTCTAATAGTTTTGTACTTTATTACAGAAAATTTGTAATTATTTTGTAATAATACTTTCCACTAATTGTAACTTTTGTAATAACTGTAATAATAATTTCCAATTTATATTTAATCTTATTGAATTTTTAGAATTCCTTCATAACAAAAAACACAAATTTCATGTTTAATCACCTAATATTGAATCTAATAAGGTGTCAAAATCATTTGACTTAGTCGATAAAGTAGCAGACTGTGTTTTGAAACCTAAAAATAAAAATTTAAAAATCATCAGTAAAATAAATTAGTTAATTCAATGATATGAAAGTTTAATAAAATAAAGAATCTATATATTTGATTAAAAATTGTTTTAAACATTACATTACCATTTTTAAATTGTATTTTTGGCAAAGGCATTTGTTTTATATTACTTTGTAAGGTAGGTGATTCAAGAGATAATAAGAAATCTAAATCTTCTTCTGTATCATCATTTTTATTTTGTTCCTCAGCTATAGTTATTTTATTATCACTCATAGTCTTTTTAAAACCTAAACTCATGTCTACTTGCTCTTCATTTTTACTCTCTAATGATCTATTAAGATTTGTTATGTCAGATGAATCAGAGATTTCTAAATTAGACAAAATATTCTTATAAGCTTTTTTTCCTTCTTTAACAGCATTGTGAAAACTTGTTAATTGATCAACCTATGGTATTAAAACGTTATACAAAAAGCATAAATTATTCATTAAACAAATATATAAAGACATATTATGTTTAATGTCTATATGAAAACGCTTACTGTGAAATATTTATCTTCTATTTGAACACATTCGTTAAACGGAATGCATTTCATAGCAGCAGAAACTAAATTTAAATCTAAAGTAAAGTAATCAAAGCATCCTAATACATCAGCGGACCAATTCTTTTCAGATTTAAGAACAAGCTGCCCATCCGCTGAAGTTGGCATCTTTATGAGAGATTCAAAATCTTTACTGTCATCATTAGTTTCTGCAATATCGTATGCAGCATAAGATTGTTTAGGCTGGACTAATAACCTTGACTCTTTTTTAGGTTCTTCTATAGGTTCGATTTTCTTTTGTGAATGTTTTCCTCGACCTTTTTTGCTATGATTTTTCACATTACTCATGTTTTTATTATATAAAAATACACAGGTTAGGTTAACAACAGATATTATTTATTTTTTTTATTTTTGCGCTTTTATCCTTTATATGTTATTCTTAATCCTTTTTATGTTAACTGGTAGAAATTTGAACATTCGTCGAGTTATAAAAACTTAGGACAAAAACAAAATATATTAGGATAACAGAATTATAAAGATGGGAAAGTATCAAAATTAACCGGAAGTGACGTTAAATTTTAAATGGCTGACATGACAGATTTTTAATTAATTTCTAAAATTTCTTACTACGAAGTTGTGTAAATAAAAGTGTATAAATATAAATAATAAATTATTGTGTCTGTGAAAAGTCATTAAAAAATAATAATGTCAAGTAACATCCATGTCTTTTACTTATAAATTAAACATAAACAACGCACAATTATACGCAGTGGTGAAATTATAGGTTAAGAGTATATTAATGAAATAACGAAGTACATATATTGATGTAAGGCAATTGAATAATTAATCCCATGCTACATGATACGACACTTTTTTTAACTCGAAAATAATTTGTCAAGATAATATTCTAAAATCTTGTCACATTTGAAAAAAGAAAAGGAAAATAATATAATATCGCTTGGATATAGTATCATTTTTAATAATATCGATTAAAAATGATTTTTAAAAAAAATAATCGAATAATCAAAGTATTTGTATTCAAAATTTCCCGCGATTTCGATTTGTGTGTGTTGCATTGATGTAACGGGAGTAACTCAGTCAGTTGCTTGTCATTCGGTCGGTTGGTTGGTCTCTCGGTTTGTCCACGGTTGGTTGAAAAGAACAGCGCCGTGGTAAACAGCGTTCGAACGTTTACGATTAGAACAATAAATTGAACGTAAGAAATTAAATACGAATGAAATAAATTAACAGGATATTCATCTTTGATTAGTGAAAACGTGTTGTTGTTATTAATTTTATAGGAGTTAATGAATTCTTATCGTTGAAAGAACGCAATTATAAATGGGGTGGGGGTGTGGTACGTTTCAATGATCGTACTACGTTGACCGACATTATGCGTATACGTGAAGTTAGCCATGCTGAATATGGTGAGTTAACGATGGGTGTAAAAAGTCTCGCAAGAGAACGTGACACGTCTTGGCAGTTGATACAAGACAAAAGTTACATTAGTAGGCGTAGCGGGGTGGGGCGTGGCTAAGTGTGAGAACGAGAAGGAAAGAAAGAAGGAAGTGCTTTGGTGAAGTGAGATGAGATTAAATGAGGAGAGGTGGGGCGAGAGAAAATATGGCGAATCGAAACGAAAAGAATTTCTTAGTCTTTCGTTTTGCACATGTTTAAACGCGATTATATAATTTAAAAATGATTTTAAGAGAAATGACATATATCTAGTTAACGCTTTTCCTTCTGTATTGATTTTCAATGTTCTTTAACTCGACAGTATCATGTTTATAGTCTAGCAATAACTCGGTAGAATTTTAGTTAAGGTGAGATAACAATGTTAAAGAATATCAAAATTCTGCATAGAGAAATTGATAAATAGATAAAAAAAGGATGTAGTTGCAAATAAAAGCGTTGATAGCTTCATATGTTTTATCGGGCGATTAATAAAATCAGTAAAAAAGATAGTTACATGAAAGAATTAGGTGGGAGGGGATCAAAGCGCCATCGCGAGGCTGAGAACAGAATTACAGGGTGACACATGGCCGCCGGGGTGGTAGCTACGTAGGGGGTGATTTCGTCTCTTTATCAATTGACATGAATAAAATATCTTATTTTTGAGAAAAAAGTTTCTAACGATTTTGAAGTGTTCATATAGTCAATCTTATTTCTCCTAACAGGTGTTTAATGTGAACAAGAAGGGAAGATAGTGTTCCGCCATGACAGTAGTGGCAGATTTAAGAGGACGAAGCTGTAATTAATCATGCTCACTTATATGTGATATTATATCGTTGGAATTGCGTTAAATGTTTGTACCGTAATGAACACTATTTTAAAAAGTTTAACAAACTATGGATTTGTATCTTCACATACAGTTGCATTATGTCATCATCTAATCTCAGAATATGAGGTATGAATGCTTTATTAATTCTAAATAAATATGTCAAAAATTATTTACTGTCTTCTGCTTACTTGTCATTTATAAAGTCTGTTAAACGTTCTTCTAATCTTTTTCAATTCCTTTTGAAGTGAATTTAAGTTAATTTAAAGTGAATTACCTTGTTCTTACTAGTCAGCTTGCAATTAGTTATTATCTGCAAATACTTAAACATTTAGTGGTAATTTGAACTTCTCTATATTAATATATATTTCCAACTCATTACTTTTAATGTAATAAAAAAATCATATTATTCTTATATGAGTTTTTCACAAACCAAAGCAATTTTTGAACATTTTATCATAAAAGCATTTGATTAATACTGAACCTTTCATATTTAAAACAAATTTATTTAATAATTAGATTTAAAGCCACTAAATAAGAATAAGTTTTATGACATTTCAACAATAAATTAGATTATTTTATCAATTTTATCTTCTTTTTATTTTGTAAAATTATATTTACTTTGTAGAATAATAAATGGCACACTATTTTCAATTATAATTTCCTTTTAAACATTTTTTGATTGTTTCTTCTCTATTAGCTAACATTTATTTATTACTTATATATGTTTGAATATATTCATATGTATTGATTTATTATTACCTTAAATATCTTTTATCAATTGGTTTATTTATTTCATTTATCGTCGTATATTTGCTGCTAACCGCACGATGTATATCGTTTGTCCTTCCATTCCTATAATTTTATCTTTATTCCTTACGGTGAACGAAGATAAAAATCTCGCGATATTAGATTTCCTATCCTTATATAGTACCTTGCATTTAAGCGATTGCGAAGTATAGATCGATCATGGCATATAAATACCAGTATCTAACACTTCACGATCCGTTATATGTAAGTAAGTACATTCGAATTCTACACCGTAGAAACGATTGTAAAGATGCTCTCAAGCGTATATTAATCCTAACGTTTCCTTTTCTGTCTCCGCGAGTATCGCCTTTCGCAGGTCGTTAGACTTTTATTTAACGTAACTCGATCGTACTTGGCTCTTATTTATTGTTTTATTTTTATTTTTCAAATAAATACTCGAATAAATTAATAATAATAATAATAATAATAATATATACAGGATGATTTAAAAGTTATTTGCCATGAAAAGAAAAAAATAACAATCAAAATTAATATTATAATAGTTTATTAATAAAAATATAATATTTTGTTAATAAAATACAAGCATACAAAGTTATCAAAAGGAACTTTTGAAATATCCTGTCTATAATATATATTTGTGTGTCGTTGTGTTCTATCTTTTATCATTTATTACAAGTTAATCGAGAAATTGAAATAGATAAAAAAATATCTAAAAGATTTAATAATATAAAAATTTCTTATTGCAGATTCTAAAAGAACGGTGAATTATTTACGAAGCCTAGTCAAAAGGATCGTAAGGTAAAATTAATCGATAAAATGCCTCTACCAAAAAGATTGGTGGAACCTGTTCACGTTGCGCGTGGGACAATACCGGATGATTATCCATTGCCATCGGAATTAGAAGCTGTTACTAATGGTACTTTGGCTAATACCATTAGACAACTTTCTAGCCTTTCACGGCATGCCGAAGATCTTTTTGCAGAGCTGACTAGAGAAGCTCATGCGTTAAGTGAAAGGGCAAATTCTTTGCAAGCTAGGATAGATCGATTAGCTGTCAAAGTCACTCAACTTGATAGCAATGTCGAGGAAGGTTGGTGGTCCACCTAAAAATATTTTATAATTAATGATTTATTTTGTTATTTAATAAACGTGTAATTACTGTTATTATTCTAAACGAGTATTGTCATATAACTTAACATTAATATTGATTACTTTTGTTATTTAGTGTCACTACAAGATATACACATGAGGAAAGCATTTAAGAGCTCAATTGTTTTTGATCAACAAGTAGTTTCAAGAGAATCGATGCCAACGGCAATGTTAGAGACTTATCGTCAATGCGACATACCACCACCTTTAGATAAGCTCAACATTTATAGGTACATATATATTTGTGTGTGATGCTAAAACATTATAGAATTTTAGTCAAATAGAAGTAAATATTGATTGATGAAATTTCTTTTTTCAGAGAGGATGGAAAAGATGGATTGAAGTTTTACACAGATCCAAATTATTTCTTTGATCTATGGAGTCAAGAGATGTTAAAAGATACTGAAAAGAAATTACATGATCGAGGGAAAAAGGTAAATTATCATTGTTGGAACATTTTATTTTTTAACGCGTGCACCTCGATATACAATTTTATATGTACAATTATTTTTGAAGAATTGTATTCACTAATTTTTATTTTATAGTTTATATTTTGAGATTACTTTTGTTATTTTTGTAAAGACACATTAATGTGCCTTCGGGGTGCACGAAACATATAAGTTAAACTCTCAATATTGTATGTATATATTGATATTGTAATTGCTAACTATTTGGAACTCTATCCCGTTCGTTATAGACTGAAACAGAATATGCCGAACCATACAGAAAGGCAAGTCGATGATTTGGATCTTTGTAGTTTTATTTTATTCCCCTGTTAAATCATGAATACTAAATAATAATTGATCAGTCACACACTCATCAGTCTCACTTCTCTGTGGTTTTATCCGATCATTAACCACTTATCTTTCTCTCTTTCTCTTTCTCTCTATTTTTCACTTTCTATTTCTCTCTTTTTTAAGCTGACTAGAAATTGCGTTAGTTGCTCGCTTTCAAAGTTTGTAGTTTATGCCCTAGGTAATAGCAAAAGCCAGTGACTTTTTTCATTTTTAGTGTTTGCTCTTCACAGATCAATTGTTTCAAGCCGATTTTACTTTCGACTTTAAAAAACACTTGATCTCTGTTGATTCATATAAAATCCCTTGATATGTCAGTGCTAACAAAGGACTTCACTCGAGAGTTTATAATTTTTTTTCACTCTTTTTCTTAAACTGATGATTTTGATTAATAAAAAAAAGTACTCCTTCACTCGGGTGATTCCCTTGTACATTATAAAATGTCACACAATATTCACATTTCATTATCACTTTGTCGATCGTTGCAACGCTGTCCTTTTTGCAAGTAATGCAAGTTTTGAATGTTAAAACTCACAAGGGTCTATGATTATTATGATGTATCGGTTTTACGCAATCAATTATCGATCCTTCATCTTCGTAACTCAATTGTCACATTTTCTATGTAGGAAATAAAACTTTATCGCGATCAATCTTTACGAACGATATCACAACGATGTAAGATATTATTTAACATCACACGTGTGATTCTTGATTACAGGAAACCATATTTCCTACATATTTGTTGCATATTTATTGACTGATTCAGCACTACTAACATACGTACACACATATATACTTTGGACAAATATATTTAATAGATGATAAAAACCAATAAAGACGATGGTTCGTGTTTTTAACGAAGCTCAATCAGTCAAAAGAGTTCCTTCAAATTGAAATGATTATGCTTGTTTTCATGCAAACATATCTTTAAATGGGAAACTTGAATAACAACTAGGAATATTTTTTGATATATGTATATTTTTTTTTTCTACGCTATAGCCTCATAGACCACGGAACGAAGGTAGTAGTGGTGGAGGTAGACACAAGAAGCGCGTAAGACAGCCTCATAATACAAGGGAAAGGCAGAGACAATTAGCGGTTGGTCATGGGGAATATATAATGCCAACACAGGGGGTTCAATATAGAGCACCTCATAACATGACTGATGAAGCGATGATGGGGATGGTTGTGACCGAATCAAGACCACCCAGACCAAACAGTATTGAACTTAGACGAAGTTATCCACCAGAGGAGCAACACTTGTATAGCCCTTCTTCCTCTGATCATTACAGGTACGTAACGTTAATTTATTAGATAAATCTTATAAGATTTGAACGGATTATCACTTATTATTCTTTTATAGGGCAACAAATTCTGTTTCTCATGGTTACGAAGAAAACGTATACGGTTCTCATTATGCTTCTGGTCAAGGCCAACAAGGTAGCGAAACTTATCAAAGTCCAGGTGGACAAAGTACACCCAGTAGAAGTGGTAGATCGCGACCTTCTCAACCACCTCCTGCTCCACCAAGCAATACTTCTAGTAATTCAACTCCCACGGTAGCCTCAGCTAATAATACTCCTACCAGAGGGAGATCTATGAGCACTGGTAGAGATACGCTTCCACCACCTCCTCCTCCTCCAGGAGAAACGATGTCTCCACCTTCTATGAATGGTGTGTTATATTTAAAAATATTTTTTTTCTTTTATCATATATATAAAAAACAAAACTAATAAAAGTATAAATGTTTTAGGTTCAATACCATCTCATTTATTAAATAGAAGTGGAAGTCGTCCAAACAGTCCGTTACCGAGTCATCATTCGACTCCTACTCCACCAAATCACTCGGCACAAATTGGTACAGACGAAACAGATCCCGTCTCTCAAGACTTACCACCACCACCTCCAACACCTGACCCTACACCACCAAGGCCTATTTCTCCGCCATGTAATATTCCTCCTCCTCCTCCGCCACCACCTCCACCGCCAGCAATTAATGGTACATCGCCACCAGTACCATTGACGAACGGAGATATTGCCAAAATGATAGCCATGTGTCCACCAAAATTAAAACCATTGAAAAGTATCGATGGACAATTACGAAAGTCCGTCAATCCGAATATTCCATTGGTAGATCCGAGGAATGATTTACTTAAAGCGATAAGAGATGGTAATTTATTCTTGGAAATTTATTTGATTTTTATTTGTTAATCTTGACGCATATAAATTAACAAATATTCATTTTGAATGACTTAGGAATTAAATTAAGAAAAGTAGAAAAAATCGAGCAGAAGGAAGTAGAACGTGTTAATGCATTGAACGATGTTGCATCCATATTGGCTCGTCGTGTTGCTGTCGAATTTAGTGACAGTGATTCAGCTTCGGAAAGCGAATGCGACAGTGAAGGATGGGGCGAACAAGAAACGAATCTCACGTGACCCACCTCTTTTCCATCTGCTGCCACTGTCTCCTAAAGAAATGACCGAGGAGCTACCTTTTTATTTTCTTGATGAATTTTATTTGGATCATCTACAATAATCAGAATTGTCGAATTGATCTACCCAAGTACAAGATCATAAAGTAAGCATAATGTTTATTGATATTTCGTTTTTTTTTTAATTTTTTTTTTTAAATAAAACTTATGCACGAGTGAAATTAGAAATCATTTGATAATATACTACGAGAACGTGAGAAATTAATAAATATGTCGTATATAAAATTAACTCTATTTGGGTGTGACGAACTTTGATTTTATCATACGACTAAAATTATTCATGTAGAAATAAAAAACCAAAGAACCTTGCATATTCATAGATTAATTTTTGTTTATTTTTGTATTTTGTATGTTTTAATCTTGCCACAGATGTAATTTATGAATTAAAAAGCGATATACAGTACAATGAAAGAATACTATAGTTTTTTGTTTCATATTTTTTTTATGACGAAGATTAAATTTTATGATTAATTAACAATATATATATATATATAATTGATAGAACAGCAAGAAGGCTAGATAAGAGACAAAGTTTATATTTAACAATATAACATGATCGCACACATCGTGTTTTCTTAGGATATATAGAAATTCTAAAATAATATAAATATTAATTAAATTATTAAAGGATTCAATACCAGTATAACTTGTACATTTAATAACTTTGATCGTATATTCTTTGAAATTACAAATTATAAATTGATTCTTACATATTATTATAAAAGGTATCAATAAATAATAAAATATATTTTATGAATTTTTCATTATTTTGCACACACACAATCGTCATTTATAATCATGATATGACGATGTGATTAAACCGAGTAATAAAATATATTTGTGTATCCTAGAAATATAACGATATTGCAAAACTATATGTTTCATTTTATGCAAGGTTCCAACGTCACACGTACGAATAATTTTGGATCAAATGATTTCAGATGATGTTAATGTATTAGTAAAGATAACGAAGAAGACATTCTTTGAATTTACAAAAAAAAAAGATAAAAATAAAAAGAAAATGAAAATGAAAATGAAAATGAAAATAAAAATGAAAATGAAAAAGAGATAGAAGGGATATACACGCACACAGAAAAAGTATAAGTATCACTTTTATAAAGTATTTCTTGATATTTGTCAGGGACTTATTGATGTCCTTCTTGGCACATTCCACAGTACCAATAAAGTTTAGTTAACAAATACTTCTTTTCAATTGGACTGTTTAACGATGATATTAATGATACAATTTTCACGAAACATAGATAAACTTTGCATTATATATATATATATGATACTATATGCTATTAAGTAGGACGTACATGCATATATACATATATATATGAAAAGGAGAAGAAAAAAAGCCAAAATACAGAGTTTATATTTTTTTTCCTTCGTGTCATATATAAGTCTTGTAAAGTACTATACTTTGAACTAATAAATATAATTAGATAGTTTCTATGTGAGATATATGAGCTATTCATAGGTCAAAGTGATTAACTCTATTTTTAGAATGATTTAAAAATTGTAGTGCCAAAGCACTTGGATAAATGCTTAACTTTTTGTATTTTACAAGTAAAAAGTTCTTTTTTAATTATACTTAACACAGCTAAATAACAAAAGTAAATAAAGTAATACATAAAGTAAAAGTAAATGAAAAATAATACATTTTATTTTATAGAGTTAATCAATTTGACAAATGAGTGATACATCTAACAATCATTTGTTACCGTTTCGCCAGATGATGATCAACTCGAATAAAAACAAAATTATCTGGCGAATGGACAATATATTATTTCTCTACGCTCTAATAAAAAAAATAATAAAAAAAATAAAAAGAAAGAAAATCTGTCGTGTGTGCGTCCTACCGCAACGATAATGGTACATCGAGTTTTAACATTCGGTCGACGGTCTTGCTAATAAAAATAATAATAATAATAATAATAATAATAATCTTCCACGTCTATTGTAAGGAACATAGCGTTAGAGACTGTCATCGGATTTTTCGCTTGTATTATCAAGAGATATATCGAGAATATGTAATGAAACAAATGCTCCATTATATGTAAGATTTAACGAAGTTGTTATTTAATAAAAATGAAAAAGAAACATTTTCTAGTATATTATAAAATTAAATGTATAATTAAATGTAACGACATGATGGTATATATATATAAATGATATATTAGCTAATGTATACATTTATGTAATTAATATTATGCCGAATATGTTATTATTACATACTAACATTAATGTTGTTTGAAAGAAGCTATCTGTAATTTATTTTGCATCGATGTTCTAACTAAAGTTAGGGGTAAATAGTGGTTGCATCATCGCATGATCTTACGTGTTCCAGTAGAGATCTATCCCAATATAGATAGATATTTGGTAGAAATATTAATGGAAAAGTATCATCCTTCATCCAGTGGTTTACTCGGCTTACAGAATTATTCAAAAAATCTGGCCGATCTTCCTGTATTGTTATTAAAAAGTGTAATAACAAATGATACATCATAGACACATTCTTACATATATCATATTAATGATTTCATTAAATATTTTTAGCATGAAAGTGGCCAATTTTCAGCGATTTAGAAACAACTTTGGTGTATTTGGATGATAATCATATACTGAACGTAAGATGATTATGATATACATGTATAAAAGAAATGATTATTCCCTTAAATTACAAGAGAGAGAGAGAGAGACACGTATGAAAAGAAGTGTACAAATGCAGCACGCAAATCTTATATATATATATATATATTTATGTCGTAATATGTTGATATATTGCTTAGCAAAATGATTTTATCTTTCTCAGAAGAAAACAAATAAAAAAGATAGAATCCTTTTTCTTTGCTTTAAGGATATTACGCTTCTATGAAGCTATAAACATTAAATTATTGTAAAATTACGATATACCAATGTAAGCTAGCGATTTCCCAAAAGTGATAAATCATTGTTTTCATTTAGCAAGACGAATAATGAAAAAGATAAGATCACAGTCTCAATGGTCCTATGGATCGTATTAACTTTGATCTTTTCTTGCTTGCATTAGGAGGAAACCAAAATAAAATGTGACGTCTCTATGTAAACACGTGTTTCTAATCGATAAACGCTTTGTAAATTTAGCATCTAATAAGAATGCTCCAACTACGAACAGAATTCACTCGCAACCTTATTTTCATACTTTCATTTTTTCATATATGGATAATGGCTTCAAGACATGAATTCTGCGAATATAAAAAAATAATAAAAGTGCCAATAATAAATAATGGCATCGTGATAAATCTATTATGTTCAATAAGTCGATTTTTATGCCTGCGAAGTCATTGCGATAATAAAAACTTCTCTTTTTACACTTAAAGAATATCGATCTTACAAAAATAGAAACGTACTACTTGAACAATAATCGCTATTATAATATATAATTATATTATTAATAATTACAAATTTGTAGTAAAACTGTACAGAATCAAATAAATTCGAAAATATCATCAGCTGTACTTTGGTTTTTGATGGTTTGATCTTTCTTTTTTAAATAAATTATCATCAAAGATCAAAGAGTTATATAATATATTAACAACAAACCTATTAATTTTAAAATCGTTATATCTGAATTTAAATTAGCACAACTATTGTTTTATTTATATAATTTTTATTAAAATAAAATTACATTAAAAGTTTTTAGGTAAGATTCCATCGTCTTTTGCAAGGCGAACTAAACAATCATCAGATTCACCCTGTAATAAAATTAAACATTGATATAAAAACAAAATTTATTTAGAATGATATATTATCTAATTTCCTTTTTACATATTACAATTCAGAACATACCATTCGACGGATTGCTCCGCATATCGCATACATTTTGGTTGTATCTGTCATACGACCGGTTTCTGGATCTACTTCTGCCAAAGTCAATTGTATAGATGCATGATCCTTTGCATGTACAATACGATTGCTCGATGAGCTAAATAAGAAATATATAAAGTTATACAACTGATCAATATAGGAGTTACACTAATATGCTAAATTAATTAACCTCATAAAATAAAAAGTAAAAAAGATTGAGAAAGTTATTTAATTAATTTTAAATATAAATAGTTAAGTATTAATCAAGAGTTTTGATGATAAACTTTGATCAATAAACTCATACGTTTATCCACAAATATAATAGAAAATATATACAAAGTGTATCTAATAACTGTGCCAGATTAGAATTTTGGAGCTTTTTTCAAATAGAAAAATTTGTGGAAAAAAATATTCCATCGTTTATAACCTCTATCATCGAATAATGTAAATTTTTGCAGAAGTATATCAGTGCAATTCCATTCTTGCACTTTTTTTCTACAATCTGTAATCTACATTTTTTGTCTGCAAAATAAAAGGTTATAGTACAGCCCAGTTATTAGATATATTATATACATAAATACAGATTTGCTTTTTATTCATAGCAGATATTGCTTATCATTCTCATTATAATAATTCATAAAAATAAATTATATATATATATATATATATATGTAAAAAAACGCATGATTCATTCTTAAGACACGTGCAATTCTTACCACTTTCTGGGAATATAAAGATCAACAACATTACCACCGTCGTCTTCCATTTTTTTCAATTGCAACGAAAATACTAAAAATAAAATAAGACAATTTTTAATATTTTTTACCTTAATAAAATATAATTTTATATATTTGAAAAATGCTTACGCGAAAGATTGACTTCGTTTATGAAGATGCTAAAGTAGAAAGGATGTACACGTTACCAACTCGTATTACCAAATGATTAAACTGAAACTATGTGAAATAAAAATTCCCTAAGTTGTAACAATAACCAATCATCGAACAGTATTTGTGAAGCGTCAAAATGATATCCCTAGACTATCGATATTGCACAGGATTGTTTCGAATAAGTATTTTGTGTTATTATTTCTACTTCAAGAAGTATACAGGGTGTTCTTTTTAAAATCAAACACTTTGTATTAACAGATAAATGTTAAATTAAATTGTTTGTAATGTTAAAGTTCCATCATTCGAATTTTCAAATATAATAATATAAAATTTCAAGAGATTAAATTCGAAAGATATTCAAAGTAATCGATATTTCTTCAAATAAAACTATACATATTGATTATAGGATAATTCATTAGAAAACAAAAAGAAAAGAAAATAAATCAGTAGATAGAATTGTTTTGATCTTCAATTGACCTTCAATAAGAAATTCACGATTCGAATGAGAACAATATAGAAGTATTATCGTTAACGCGTTTATAAACTCAATTGTTGTACAATTAATTACTTATAATAAAGAAGAGAAAATCTAAAATTGAAATGTACACCTTGTATAAAATCGAAATATACTTCTAGCTAAGATTTATTTTTCACTTAAAGGCGCTTCAGTCGTTAAAGGAGGTAGAAATCTTTTACGTAAATGTAGAATTCGTTCAATTTCAGTAGGTTGTTCATGGTCACGTGTTTATGGTTCGGGGTTAATCAATGATACATGCGTTCTTTATTGCAGTCAAGCGAATGCTTTCTGCTTGGATGGATGTGTAGTTTTCATTTTGGTTGTTAAAAGGATTGTTAGGCAATCGAAAAGTATGGGATCCTGACGCACAAAGCGTGGACAAGTCTTCTTACTTTCTATCTTTATTTTTACGAAGTAAGTACAAATGCACATGTGTGTGATTTTTCTAATTACAAAATATTTTATTATATATATATATATCGAAGTTGAGAATAAGGAAAATAACTTATGTGAATTCCAGTGAGAATCATTTTTCTTTTCCGTATAATTCGATTACATAGCTATTTTTTGTAACCTTGAACGATATAAGAAAGTACGATGGCATGATGAGCTGAATTTTGAAAAACAATTGATCTCAATTCGAATTTCTTAACCGACTAACTTTTCGATTAAATATATATTATCATTTTTATTATTATTATTATTATTATATTGTTATTGTTATTGTTATTGTTATTGGATATATCTTTGTCCTTACTTTGTAACATTAATTTTGTTAAATAGATTGGCAGTAGATAAATAAGTAATTTTCTTCTTTCGCAAATAGAAATATATCAATTGGTGTGTATCTTTCAATATAAATAGAGCGGTCACTAACGTTTGCCAGGAAGCTAATATAATTCTATTATCTTTATCATCATCGTCATCATCGGTATCATCATTATTGTTATTATAATAATAATTAAATATTTAAAAACAATTATTATTATTAAGTTACTACGCGTTTCTTTCTTAATAAATATAATTTATAATACGTTTAAAAAAAAATAAAGAATATAAAAGAAAAAATATTTTGTGGAGTAAAAAAATGTATATCATCTTTCTATCATAGTATATGTAGAATATATACAGCATTTGATATGTATTGAGAAATCATATGTAAAATCTGACGTTCTTTGAGCTCTAATCTGTGATTCAGCATTAGATTTACATATGATTCAACGCAATGCGTGAATACGCAACTCACGCACCGTGTATACACGCACTATGCGTTAGTATGTGATTGTATATAATACAAAAAAAAAATGAAAGTATAAAAAGAGACCTTGATCAAATTTGTTGATTTAAACAATTGTAGGTGAGAAAGTAATCTTTGTTATTCTGATATTGAGATCAAAATAACGTATTCTGTCGCAGTTCACTTTACAAGATAATTAAGAATGATAATTTGACAATAGGTTATTAAAAAGTCGTATAAATTATTTCCTTATCAACATTGTTTTAATACATTGTTCCTTATCGTGTTATATGTAAATTTAAGTATGTATAATTAAGAATTAAGTTTATAATTCAATACTGATGATTAAATATTAGTTTATTTTAATTTTCTCTTATTCCCTATCTCAATTTCTCGTTTAAATAAAAGTCTATATTTGTCTTGCTGTGAAATGATATTGTGTTAACACGTTAAGAGATCAATAGCGCCAATAAAATGACGAAATTTCGTTCTGATAGATTTATATTATTGTTACTGATTGCTAGAATGAAGTTTCTAGTCTTATCAAGGAAAAAAAAGATCGATGTTCCTTATCGATTGTTATAATGCGTTTGAAAAAAGAACCATTCGTCATGTTACTTTTTTCAACAAAAAAAGCAAATCATGTAATTATATCCTAGTAAAATTACCATTACTATGTAATTTCTTGTCTTTAAAATTAAATTTTGGCCAATTAAATGTTTGGCCGTTTTTACGTCCATGTAGTTGTTCGCAAGATAATGAGAATACATTTTGCAGTGATATCAGTTCCGTATTTTTTTTATACTCTGTAGAACAGATTTCATTGCGTTAAACTTTATTATCTATCAGATTAGTGGGTAAAATTATTTTCTATTACTTGTTAGGTAAATGTGTTGCAATTCGCAAATAGTGTATGTGTTATATGTGTGTGAGTATATATATACACGTTTAATAGTTTATTTTCTCACGTTTTCCTGTACGTTATTATGTAATCTTCTTTGAATCTATTTTTCTACATTTTTTTATATAAACTGTTAGAAAATGTTAAAATATATCATTTATTTATTACATGATACATATTTATAATGAAAAGATAACTATTGTAAATATGTATTCGTATATGTGTAAATAAACGTGTATATAGAATTATGTGAAACATGCCAACGATGAAAAAAAAAAAAAAAGAAGGAATAAAAGTTGCCAAATGATTCATAAATAAATTTAGTTATACGTGCATTAAAAATTCTATAGTAGTATTTATTAAGCTGATTAATTATGCATGCTGTTCTCACGTATAAGTTAATGAAGTATATAATATGTTGTACTTGCATATGGTCTGTCTCTTTGCATTTCCGCATCTGTGTATATACAAATGTATACACAAATATATACGTTTTTTAATAAATAAAATAATATCGAGAAAAAAACAAAATCTGTTGAGTCACAATCTAAACGTTGCTAAATTCGACATTTCATTTTACAAAAAAAAGGTGTAATATATTTATAAAGCTGTTGAAAGATAACGCACTGGTATGTGGTATGTTCAAAAGAGATAAGATATGATTATTATCATATTTTAGCCCTTCCAGAAACTAGCAATAAGAAGAGAAATTGATTCATTTAAAATTAACATTTATTTAATAACTATCGAATAACAATTATTTTATCCTTTTCGCAAAATATATGTATTTTTCTTTTTTTTCTTTTCTTTTGTCTGTTTGTCAAGGTAAAACTTCGTTACAAATAGAATTCATTCTTTACTTGAATTTATTTGCAATGACTTGTACTTTGTATTTTGTACTTATGTGCCCATAATTATGAAAGTGCTCTAATCCATTTGAGTCTAGACTTGTACACCGTGTGTGTAATCATACTAAGCTATTATTAGTTATTTTGAATAAAGTATTCATCGAAATAAGACTTTTTTTTATAAATAATATTTTTAAAGTATAGAGAAACAAAATTTGGTGTTCTAAAAAAGTCGTGGTTCCGAATGGGCTAAGGTACATATTTTTTGTTTTAAGATACAGAATTACATTTGAACACTAAATGAATTCTGTATAATATTGAAATAACAAACATAACGATTCATTTTTGATAATATCGTGAAAATTACATTGAATTAATTTAGTTTAAAATAATGTGTTATGAAATAAATGATAAACTCATTTTTTGTAAATTTTGACTTATTGTTAGATCACTTTCATAATTATGGGCACATATAGGATGCATTCTTTGATTAATTTATTACGAATGAAGTAGATATATATATAGTATAATATTTTATATATATAATGTTAAATACTTTGTTTTCATTTTGATCATGTTATTCATATATTTGATTATAAATGTTGTAATTTTCTCTAGTTCCACTTTCTCTTTTGTTTACGGAAGAGGAGCGTTAACGATCGTGATACTATCTTTTTATCATGGACGGAAAACAGAAATTTGAGAAGAAAAAGAATCCTCGTGAGGGAGCCAATCCTTTAAGCGCATTAACGTTCACGTAAGTATTTAGAACTTGAAACAATTGAAAATATATCTTGTTTCTACATGATAAAAAAGAGAAAACACTTGTTTTTATATCTCTATGTATATACATTTACACTATTCAATTTTATTATTAAAGTATCACGTTGTTGTGATAATTATTGATAAATTTTTTCCTCGATCTATGTATTGTTTAAACTATATAAACAACAAGGTTGGATATGGATTAATATCTTATTAAAAATTTATCTTTCTATCTGACACAAATATGTTTTTCGAATAACAAGAATAACATCATTTCTTTATTTACGCTTTATGATTTTATAAGCGATTATTATCTATCCTAAATAACCCAATGGCTCTTATAATATTTAATAAATTATAATTATTAAGAAAATATATTTTTTTTTATATAGCTTTATTTAATGTCTCATCAAGCATCGGGGATTATTAATGACAAAGAAAATATTATTTTACGTTATACTGACTGGTACTTTTTGTTTAATAATCAAACTAGAATATTTATAAGTATTCGTTTTTTTTTCATTTTATATATAATAAATAACTATAATTTTTACCGTATTTTGGGTGTACCAATATATCTACTGTAGTTTCTATCGGATTATTAACCCTTTGAGTGCTGAATACTTCCTACGAAAGTGGTTGCAATCGTTCGGGGTGAAATATTTTTGTTTGTTGATGTAAACTATATTGATTAAACGCAAGTTACAATTAAAAAATTGTAAAAAAGAAACAAAACAAACAATAATGCATATATGCATCATTTATCGGTACAGCAGCTTTCGCTGGATGCACATATGCATCCATAATATTTAAAGGGTTAAAATATAATTATAACGTTATTGGGGTCACGTATGTTATGTATAATCAGTATTTGATTTTTTTAATTAATGACATGTGTGACCTGCATTACTATATTGCTTTTTTTTTTCAAATAAAAAAATATTATATTTAATAGTATTTTTCTTCATTTTTTTAATCATTTCATTTATATATTAAATTACATATTTTGTAATTCTTCCTAATTCGATTTTGTTCTTTTTAAAACAAAATTCTCTATATACAATATGTTAGCATTACTCTGTGAATTGATTTAATAAATCGTTAAATAATTATACTGATCATCTGTAAATAATTATACTTTAATCATCTAATATATGAATTCGTGAAAGATAAATAGTTAAAGTATGAAATTGAAATTTAATTCAAGTTATAAGAAAAATATTTTTCGGTTTCGGTTTTAATACCTCTGCCTATTACTCAGATAATATGCTTTTTTTGTTGTAAGGCTTTTCAAACGAAGATTATCTAATCTAGAGATATAGTTTCTCTATCGATTTAATAGATTATATTAGGTTTCTTTCGAAAACTATAAAGACTAAAATAAAATATGGACAATGAGTACTTATGTCTTATTTTGTTTTTTAAAAACAAATTTTTTGTTTTTATTTTGTGAAGTTATTCAATTTGGCATGAGTTACTTATATATATATATAAATACTTTAAATGTTGTTTTTTTTCTTTAATTGTTTTTTCATTGTTTTGTTCTTACAATTAGCCTTTATTATTTTCCTTCAAATAAATCTATTTTTTTTTGTGGAAAATTTTCCTCACATTACCTATCCTCCCACTCTTTCTTATGGTTACATATATCTATCGATGCCACTAGCTGTGACCTTTAGTGTTATATATAATATAAATACTAAATTAAACATATTAAAGAAAAATACTTCTAAACCGACATGATTTTCTTTATATATATATGTAGAAATATGTGTAATATATTTTCATATTTTTATGAAATAGATGGATTTTACGCACCTTCTGGCTTGGGTATCGTAGAGACCTTGAAGTATCTGATCTATATAAGCCTCTTAAAGAACATACGAGTAGTGTACTTGGAGATAAATTAGCTACTTTATGGGAGGCAGAATGTCAAAAGATAAACGAGCAAAGAAATAAGGCTCTTAAAAGTGGTGCAAAATTTGATAATGAAAGTAACTTGAAAGAACCTAGTTTACTGAAAGTATTAATCAAATGTTTTGGTGCTCGCATAATGTTCTATGGAATAATACTGGTCATTATGGAAATAGTGCTCAGGTAAATATATATTATACATTATTATAAGTTCATTGAAATTTTTTCTCATTTCTTTTGTCCAGAGATTAATTACTTATAAAATTAATTAATCAGCTAATATTTTTATTAAGCTTATTATTACATATATATGCAGATTATTTCAACCATTGTTTCTTGGTCTATTAATTCGTTACTTTAGACCACGCAAGTACACCTATACTTTGGTAAATGGTGATCCACTGTACAAGAAGCAAAATAATTCTGATATGCAAGTTCGCAGAAATAAGAATTATGAAGATTTTTAAATCCCCTTTTCTACTTTTTCTCCTTATTAACCATTTAAATTACGTCCTCATAATTTAGTTACAATTTCATGATTTTTGTGCATGTTTAGTTAATTTAGAATTTTTCATTCATTGCATAATGCATAGCATATTATTTCTATTTCTTATTTTGATTCGTTTATTAACTTAAACTTTGAGTTAAAAAAGACTTTATAGAATATATTATATCTAAATTCATTTATAGTTAAGTATCTTTTAATAAGTATATTATTAGATACGATTTTCTAACGATAGAATGTTTATTATTTTAACTAGTATTGCTTTAAGCATGTAAAAAAAGAAATATTGGTAGTTAACGAATATCATAATGAAAATTTTGTCTTTTTCCATGTAGGGTGCTACAGCCATTATGCCTTGGCTATCTATTGCGATATTATAATACTCAAGAAGTATCCAAAAATGAAGCTTATTTATATGCTCTTGGAGTGATATTGTGCTCTGCTGTTAATATATTTGTTGTACACCCATACATGATGGCTATTCTTCATATGGGTATGAAAATGAGAGTAGCTTGTTGTTCATTAATCTATAGAAAAGCATTGAGATTATCAAGAACTGCATTAGGAAAAACAACGGTTGGACAAGCCGTTAATCTTTTATCAAACGATGTAAACAGATTTGATGTCGCTATCATATTTTTACACTACTTATGGATTGCACCACTTGAAACTATGATTATTACCTATTTCATGTTTGCTGAAGTACAAATATCTGCTATTATTGGTGTTGTGACATTGTTAATGTTTATACCACTTCAAGGTAAAGCACATAATTTATTTTAGATTAATTAATAAAAGTTATAAATATGTAAATAATTTATTTCATTCCTTTTATTTATTTAGGTTATTTGGGTAAAAAGTCATCCGAATTAAGATTGAGAACAGCTATAAGAACGGATGAACGAGTTAGACTAACGAATGAGATCATAACTGGAATTCAAGCAATTAAAATGTATACATGGGAGAAACCATTCAGTGATTTAATAGAAAAAGCTAGAAAGTAAGATAAAATAATAAAATTATTATTTTTATATATGTTACTCTTTAAGTCTTTGTAATTATATTAAAAATGTATTAATTAATCAATAGGAAAGAAATTAACGTTATTCGTTCTACGTCGTATATCCGAGGCGTCACTATGTCATTTATTATTTTTACAACAAGAATGTGTTTGTTTATTACTATATTGGCTTATGTCTTATTCGGTGGAAAGATAACTGCTGAAAAAGTTTTTATATTGACAGCGTATTATAATATTCTACGACAAACTATGACAGTTTTCTTCCCACAAGGTAAAATAAAAACTATTATTATTACCTGTTAATATTATCGACAAATAATTAATCAAATAATTTATGTATTAGGTATCACTCAAGTAGCAGAAGCCATGGTTTCTATAAAAAGATTACAGAAATTTATGATGTATGAGGAAATAATGCCAGAAAAGAATATAGATAAAAATAAGAATATTGCAAAGAAAAAACATAAAAAATCAGCTAATTTAAATAACGAAGTAAACGAAGATTTAACAAATAAAAGGAACAGTTACGACGAACAACCGAAATTAAATAGTGCCGATCCAATAAAATTAGAAAATGCTTTTGCTAAATGGTTTTCATCTGAAAATGAATATACATTGCAGGATATTAATGTACACGTTCGTCCAGGTGAACTTATAGCTATAGTCGGACAAGTCGGTTCAGGAAAAAGCAGTTTGTTAAATGTTATCCTGAAGGAACTGAAATTATCTTCGGGTACTTTAAAAGTATGTTAATTTACTTATATTAGTATCATTTGCGTATGATATATTTATTGATATTACATGATATTACAAATAGAATTAGAATAATAAACATGGTATTTTATTACTTTTTATTTTCAGGTTAATGGAAATACAGCTTACTCTAGTCAAGAACCATGGTTATTTGCTGGTTCAGTTAGACAAAATATTTTATTTGGCCGACCAATGGACCAAGTTCGATACAATAATGTTGTTAAAGTATGTCAATTAAAAAGGGATTTTTCTTTGTTACCTTACGGTGATAAGACAATAGTAGGAGAACGAGGTATTAGTTTGTCTGGTGGTCAACGTGCTAGGTTAGTATACTTTAACTGGGATTAAATTAATTATCTTAAAATATATTAAAAATATTATAATTAAATAAAACATAGGATAAATTTAGCAAGAGCGGTTTACGCAGAATCAGAAATTTACTTGTTTGATGATCCATTAAGTGCAGTAGATGCTCATGTTGGTAAACACATGTTTGAAGAGTGTATTGTTAAGTACTTAAAAGGAAAAACAAGAATTCTTGTTACTCATCAACTACAGTATTTGCACAATGTTGGTAGAATTATTGTGTTGAAGGATGGTTCGATACAGGCAGAAGGGTAAGTTTTTTAAAACAACACCAAATTCATTTGTCATATATATATCAATCTAATAAAAGGCTTCATTTCAATAAGGACCTACGATGAGTTGGGTTCGAAAGGAGTGGATTTTGGACGTTTACTGGAAACTCAAGCAGTCGTTGAGGAACATCCTCCTTCCGCATCTGCTAGTAGAAGCAATTCTCGTAATCCAAGTATCTCTTCATTGAGTTCCTATAAAACGAATGACACTAGCAAGCAACCAGAACCAGACGAAGTAATATATTTATTTAAATAGGAATCCATTTACTATTATTATCTAGATTATTTTTTTGTATTTGTTATCAGGAGGCTGAAATGCGAACCAAAGGTAGTGTTTCTGGAAAAGTTTATGCCGGTTATCTCTTAGCTGGTGGTAACTGGTTCATAGTTACGTTAATCTTTGGGTTTTGTGCGATGGCTCAATTGGCAGCAAGTGGAGGTGATTTCTTCATATCTCGATGGGTCAATATGGAAGAGATATCGGTAAGTATACAATTCGATTTTTATTGTTAAGACTGTATCGTTTATTTTAATATATTTAATCTTTTTGTTATCTTTTATCAATAGATCAACGTAACAAGTAATGGTACAGAGATCTTTGAGTGGCAAGGACCAATTGATCGAGATACTTGTATTTATATATACAGTGGTTTGACTGTACTTACTATAGGAATAACGCTCATACGTTCAGCATCTTTTTTCAATATGTGTATGCGAGCGTCTATGACGTTACACGATAAAATGTTCCGTTGTATAAGTAATGCAAAAATGCGATTCTTCAACACTAATAATTCTGGCAGAGTTCTCAATCGGTTTTCAAAGGACATGGGAGCTGTAGACGAATTGTTACCAATTGCATTAATTGATTGTATACAAATTGGGTTATCATTATTGGGAATCATAGTGGTCGTTGCCATTGCTAATCCATGGTTACTAATACCGACTGTTGTAATTGGAGTTGTATTTTACTTTCTACGTGTCTTCTATATTGCCACAAGTCGGAGCGTGAAACGTCTTGAAGGAATCAGTGAGTACCTCAGAAATACAATAATACTACGATACACTATTAGGATAAAGATATCGATATTCATCTTCTCGATCGGATTCCGGAAATGGATGATTTTCGATCGTGTCGTATTCGAATATATAGATACTTTACACACACACATATATATATATATATATAATTATATTATATATATTTATTAATATTACAATATATTAACAAAATAAATCATAAATACATTATTGGAGAGAATTTTTGAGTATAACCATAAATGGTCACCAGCACGTTCACCGGTGTTTGGACATCTGAACGCAACTCTACAGGGTTTACCAACGATACGATCCTTTGAAGCTGGTGACATTCTTATTAAGGAGTTTGACAACCATCAGGATTTGCATTCTTCGGCATGGTTCATATTCATTGCTTCCTCTCGTGCCTTTGGATTCTGGTTAGACGTGTTCTGTCTAGTGTACATAGCTCTAGTCACTCTAAGCTTCCTTATTATGTATGATGATGCTTCTGGATCAATGGAAGGTGGCAACGTTGGTCTGGCGATTACACAAAGTATTGGCTTGACTGGTATGTTCCAATGGGGTATGCGACAGAGTGCCGAATTGGAAAATCAAATGACATCGGTTGAACGTATACTTGAGTACAGGTATGTCTTAGATTACAGATTTATAAAATTTGTGTCGCGTTAAAATATTAAAATATTTACAAAGTAGAGTTTACATATTCAATGCGTTTTGACTTATAAAAGTTTGGAAAAAAAGCCTTGTGTGTGTGTAATCTAAATACTTTATCTTAAACGTATAAAGATGATTTTTATAAAGTTTTACTAAATATCTTTAATCTTACTGGTTTGTACATTAAATACTTTTGTACTATTTGAAATTAAAAAGGATAAATAATTTTTAGCAAAGTGGAAAACGAACCATTATTGGAAAGTCCACCTGATAAGAAACCACCAGAAGATTGGCCGCAACAGGGAAAGATCGAGTTCAAAGAAGTGTCAATGCAATATTCAGTGTTCGAACCACCGGTGTTGAAAGATCTTTCTTTTGAGATAAAGTCACGGGAAAAGATAGGTATTGTTGGTAGAACCGGTGCAGGAAAATCATCCTTGATTTCTGCCTTATTTCGTTTCGCTGAGATTGAAGGGCCTATATTAGTAGATGGTATTGATACAAGAGAAATAGGTCTTCACGATCTTCGTTCGAAAATGAGTATAATTCCACAAGAACCTTTCTTATTTTCTGGATCGTTGAGGAGAAATCTTGATCCGTTTGATACCTATCGAGATGACATATTATGGCAAGCACTGGAAGAAGTAGAACTCAAAGAAATGGGCTTAGAAGCTCATATAAATGAAGGGGGATCTAATTTGAGTGTTGGCCAACGACAGCTCGTTTGTTTAGCAAGAGCCATCGTACGAAATAATCCAATTCTTATCTTGGATGAAGCTACGGCCAATGTCGATCCTCGTACGGACGAGTTGATACAAAAGACGATTCGTCAAAAATTTGAAAAGTGCACAGTACTTACTATCGCTCATCGTCTTAACACTGTGATGGATAACGATCGTATATTGGTGATGGATGCTGGTCGTGCAGTGGTAAGTTAATCGTTCATTTTAGACATATAAAATACTTACTCGTACTTGTACATCGATCACAACCTCCAGAGAATGTTTCTTTGATGTTGAATGTTTTTTTTTTGTTACGATTTGTTTGATATGTCTAGTTGTATTATATCAATTATGTCTTTGTAACGTCTTAATGATGTCCTAAGAAAATGATGATATTTTTCTTTTTTTGTTAAATTTGCAGGAATTTGATCATCCTCACATACTATTACAAAACAGTAAAGGATACTTAAGCAGCATGGTACAAGAGACGGGTCAAGTTATGGCGGAGGCTTTGACCGCTATAGCACGTGATAATTATACGTCTCGTTACACGTCTACAACGCTTTGATGTGTGACATCTAAATACTTATCGTCATATTAATTTTTAGCATCGTTAATATCTAGTTTGGATTAATTCATTTCTTTTTAGGCACGACCACAATTTTAAAGTTCTTTCTCTTATTATTTGGATATAATAATATTATTCACATTTTGAACAAGATTATTTCCAAAGCTACTTAGGATATTCATAAACAAAACTTATGCGAATTTTTAAGTTCTATACATCAAAATCAAATAACATGAGTGTGTTTGTATGTATATATGTATGTATGTATGCATGCATGTATGTGTGTATGTGTGTATGTGTGTATGTACATCTATATTATATCTATGCTGTTGTATATTTGATAAATGAGGATACGTGTGTATTCATTTTGTGTCGCATTCAGACAAATATGATTAGATAAATTTACTTAATTAAAAATCAATGCCAAAACTAAAGAAAATCAACTTCCAATGAAGATCCATAAGTAATTTTGGTTAGATCCAATTCTTCGGTGCCCAAATCATTGAAATTTCTTCCATGAATAATAAAAATATTAAAAGTTCAAATAATAAATTTTTGTTATATTATTTATTAGGAATTATAATAGAATTATATTTCAAATATTTTTTAACCAATTATAAGTATAATATGAGTCACAACTCGGTCGTGCCTAAATTCTGTGTCAAACGTAAGACATATTGGTTTTCTCTTTACATTTTTGTTTCTTTTTTCCTTTCTTTGGAATTACTAAAATGGTATTTTGTAGAAGTAATATTCGTCTTAGAATATTTTAAATAGAATTGTAGAGAACCATTTTATACTGTCTGGCGCTGACGCAGATTCAGTATTATTACTTAATATTTTATATCTTATAATTTTCTTTCATCTATATTTCTCTCTCTTTTTCTCTTTTTTTTGTTTATTTGAAATACTTAACGATAAATTGTCACTTTACTTAATAATATGGTTCTATTTTTATACGTATTATATATATATATATATATATA